CATATTATTATTATACTTAATTAAAAGCCAAAATTATAACTATTTGACTTAGTCCCGGCGATTTAAATCGTAATCGTTGGTGTTGCAACTATATTACTATAGTACCTAACTATCACAGACAGCGTTCATATGATGATATAATAGAAGACATGATAGTGTATGATAGTGTTGTAATTCAAAAATAAGAGCGGGTCGGGCCAGCCTAATTATATAAAATTGATGTTTAACTATCATTCCCGTTATTAATTGTTTCATTTATTTACATTACATAATATTTTATTTTACTTAATGTATGATAGCTTAAATAGCATATCATTACAATAGTTCGATAGTTACTATTACCTGGTTTAAACGACAATAATTCATGATATTGATTATCGCGGTTGTGAATTTTACAACAATCGCAATAGTAGTTGTCGCCGTGTGGATCAAGTTTTATGTTTACAAATGTGATTTAATTTTAAAATGCATACGTATATATAATTATACTTTGTATACTTCGTGTAAAAACTGTTTGCTGTGACTATCAAAACATTTTGTAGATAATATATAATTAAATAATAAAACATTAAACAATCATTTTTTTATCATATTAGAAGTATTTAATTGCAAAACATTTTTAAAAATTGTTGTATAATTTTTGCACTATGATTTTAGCGCTGTATTATAATTATATTATTTTTTCGATATGTTATATTTAGTTCAATATGAAATGGTAATTTATATCACGTATTATGATGATTTTTACTTAATATTCCAACGAGAATCTTTTTAAACTTTCTGGTAACTCTTATAGAAATAATGCATATTCAGAAGTGGGCATTTATGTACTATATTTTAAAGAGAAACTGATCGGAATTTTTACTTATGCTGAAAAAGGTATCCGATCTTACAATCATTTATAATGAAAGATTACATTATGTAATTCACATATTCGCGGACAAATCTAATTACACGTTGCGGAGGTAATATTGTAGTATAATCTAGATATTGGTATTTATTTTGTTTTTCAGAGCAAATACAGAATAATAATATAATATGAGAATTACATTATTGAACTACTTCCATGGAATAATAATATGTGGTATTATAATAAAATCGTATTGAAAACTTGAATATTTGGCATTCGTTCCAATTTGTCCTATTATTAAAATATAAATTAAAATGACCATTAAGTAGAAAGATATTTAGTTTATTTCAGGAATTTTCATATGATGGTATTATTCAATATTTCTAAATTAAAGTTTTTGTTCTCGAAATTATTTTTATTTTTAGTTATTTACTAACTTATTTAATCAAGAAAACCGACTACTATGAATTTACACACCAGTAGGCAGCTGTATATTTGTTCAATTAGGTTTTTATGATAGTTTTAAGAACAGTGAATCTGTACAGTAGGTTTTAAATAGAAAAATTCGAAAAACCCAATAGGTGTATTTAATCATTTTTTTTATCACTTACCTAGGTATTCAGTTGGTTTTTTCAGTGAAACATTTTTTTTCATTCATTACAGAAAACGCGTTTTAATTGTTTTTTTGTAAAATTTAATTTTAAACTTGCAATTCAAATTACACCGTTATGTTTACAATTTAAGGGTGGACTATAATGCATTAAAAACTTTAATATAATCTCTTTATATTGTTAAAATATGCTTTATAAAATGGCATTTAAACCTCCAAAATATTAAAATTTTCTCTAAATCATAAAAATCTAAAAATATAACTATAATTCTTACATAATTTGAATAGATATCGATAGCCTCCAAATGAAATAATTGCACAAAATAAAAAATAACTATATGCTATTCTGACTTATTTTATTATTGACTTTAACTGAAAAAAAATTATAAGTATAATACATTCAAATTAGTATTTATTTATTATTTTTTTTTTTTAATGAATGTAAAATATATTTGGTTTTATTTAATTAAATATTTCTTAAATAGTACCATGTTAATATTACGTAAAAAACCCTAATACATTAAATATTTATACATGTTCTAAATATACTAAATATATATTTAAAGTAAAATAGTTTGAAGTATGCTAAAATATATGCAACATTTAAATATTTTACTTATGTATTTTAAAGGTTAAAAAATATATTTCTATTCTATTCTGTATTATACCTAGTGAAGGAAAAACTATTCAAATGCATTACCATCGTTTCTTTATTTATAATTTTTTTCTCTGATTTATTTTAGCTGCGTATTAAAGTAGCAGTATATTAGTTGTTCGGGCAGTCTTTTTTTTCTTCTTTCCAAAATTCGATCATTCCTTTTACAACATGTTTAGATTCCAAAAACCCGGAATCCCCGAACGAAATATTGCATTTTTCCTGTTCTATACGTACATAATCATCCCAAGTCTCCCATTTCGTATTTTGTCATCATCAATCTGTATTAAATTTTTCCTTTTCTTAATCGTTTCACAGCGTTATTGTATGATAGGTACACTTACTCCGAAACGATTCATCATTATAATTCTATTTATTTTTCTTCTCATTCGTATATTGCCACCGATTTACCACCGATTATTATTATTGATCGTGGTGACTTGAAATGATCATTATATATATAACTGATGTGTAATTGAAACAAAAAAATAATTGTTCAATTATACATACAACGGGTTAATACGTTAACAGCTCTTACGAAAACCATATGGATATTATTTACCTACGCATATTATTATCTGGTTAGATTAAATATTATCAAAGCTAAGCGAGCTTGTACCGCTCTTTATTCGGTAATTACTAAGTTATTAATATCCGATTCCGCTATCAATGAAATATAAAATAATACAATTATTCATTCAAACAATCCTATTGTATGTTTTCAGCTTCAGCTTGGAGACTTTTAATGTAACTATGTAGGTAAAACTGAAAACAATCGAAACCATATAAAGCAGCGCGATTAGAATTTTAATAGGTTGTTTACCTTTGTCATTCGTGAAAAACTCCATTTTTCTTTCCTCAGCCAAAATAATAATAATAAAAAAAAGGACGCAATTCTAGCTCCCAAAATAATGTTCACACAACTGGAACTTCAACCTAGCTCCACATAAAATTCCTTGAAATATTGGGCTCTGCTCTGGCTGCTCGTAATAACGTATAATTTATTAAAATGACCACTTTTAATTTTTAATATATTTTTAAAAATGTTTTAAATGTAGAGCTTATTTGCGTTATTGGTACATCAAGAGTGTGAAGAGTGAGTTGGTCTTATATTCGCAGTGGCAAAGTTATAAAACAAGTTCTTGTACTATAGTAAACCAAATTAAAAACGTTCTATATTAGAAAAACTATCGTACCTTGGATAAGCTAACTTAAAAAGATTAAGAAAAGGAGTAAGAATTGCAGTTGAGGACAATCGAGATGATTGAAGATCTTTGATTGAAGCTGTAAATGGCCAGAATGGTTCGTGAAGCGAAAAAAAATAGGTATAATATTATATATCATAAGCGTATAGGATATAGGTATCATATCAGAAATAAACCTATTACTACCAATGGCATAGTAAAGAAGGGTTTTGGGTATTGTAACCTCTTCATTATTTTTTTTTAGTTATAGATAAGATTAAGAAGATTGTAGACTCCTAAACGCCTTAAACCTCTAATCACACAATTGATAAATTTAGTAGAAAATTAATTAAAAACTTACTTGTTTAATATTGGTACAAGCTGCAAGAATCCATAGTTTGTTGTCTGCTTGTATATAGTTGTTATGCACAATCATATTCAAATAATATAATATTTTGTCTGATAGGAGATAGGAATACGTTGTTACCAACTGTTATTGGACGTTGACGAGTATTGTTGTTATTAATGTTATTACTTCAACCAAAATAGAGATATTTCGTTCTCTATATAAATACGCATTGAAAACTTTTCTGTAAAATCGAATTCTTATACATATAGTTGGAATAATTTTTAGGATAGAGGTGAAAAACAAAATATGTTATAACTAATAACTATTAGATAACACAAACAAAATTAAAATAGAAAACAATTATCATAATCTGAAAACAAATTATATAATCTGTTTTACTTTATTTTTATAGGAATATTATTTTATACATTCAATTTTATCAATCAATTACATTATTAATTTTATGTATTATAATAAATAAGATTGATTAAAAACCATTATAATTATAAGTATATTTGGTAATTTATAAAAAAAAAACGTCAAAAACTTATTAGAAAATTTCAATATATATTTGTATAATAATGTTATAAATATATTAATATATTATACAAACATAGGACGGTTATTATCCAAAAAACCAAAATACTTATATAATATGATATCGATATTTTTATAATGATATTTGTTTTTAATAAAAAATTGTATCTTTTATTTCATAAAATATTAGCAAATCTTAAGTTATTTAAAAACATTTATTAGGTACTTTGGAATATACCGTAAATAAGTATATCTACTCAAAGAATAATTGTTATTACTCATTTATCAAGGCAAATTGAAGTATTTTTTTTAACCATCAAAATTACAAATACATTAGAAAAAAACAAAACATTTAGTTTCAAATTAAGATTTAACGAGTAAAAAGGTATAACTAATATTTCTAAACCTATCTCTTTAAATTATTATACTTATGTTTTAAACATAATTTAATCCCTGAACATATACAACAATTTATATTTTTACTACCTACATTCATAAAATGCATAACAAATCATGAGAAATATTATAAACTTGAACATTTAATTAGATATTCAAAGGTTTCACCCTATTTTTTCTATTTAAAATATATTCTCCGAATAGAAAAAAAAAAAACGAACAATAGTAATTTCTGTCCTATAATTTTCGTTTAGTAACTTTTTAGTGCAGGGACACTAGAGTTATAATTGTTCACTAATAATATATTATTACCCATTATTAAACATAAGGAAGTTAAAATATTATTTTAAATAGCTATCTTAATATTGGTTAATCATAAAATCGATTTAAATGAAATTTTGCTACAAATATATTTGAACATCTATTAACACTTGCAGTTATTGTTATTTCAAGTTATTTTGTGGATATGCTATCCCTTTCGAAAACAAAAAAAAAACCCACAAGAACCGACGTCTATTTTATTGTTGTACATTTTGAAAGTAAAAAAAAACAGCATCGTATTGAAGTATTTAATTCCATGGGAGGAGATATTAATTTTTTGGCAAGGTTGATAGAATAATGTGAAGAGATAAAAGTGGCCGAAAGGGGACAGCTGTACACTTTAGCTTCTCCTTTTAAAAGTCCTGACAACGCGTCTAAAAGTTCCATTTTGATAATGAGCCTGTATACCTACTTCATTAATTTACTTCGTTTATTTATATGCAAGTAATGTATTTGAAGTAAAGTAGGCAAATCTGCACAATATTACGTTTACAAATATGAGTATAATATTATGGATACCTACAATTTACTGTAAATTCTGATTAAATTAAATTAACTTTTTAAATTTTTAAAAATTAAAACCAAAAAGTGTTTATTTATTTATATTATTATTAGAGATGGGCTTAAATCACTTTTTACCGATACCCTATATTCCGATAAATGCTACCGATACTGGCTGTTAATCGAAATACTTGTTGAAAACCCGATTTTTTAAATACTTTTTTCATATTCCTTAGACTTTATACACATTTTTCTTACAAAATATTAGGTCAAATATTGGTTTAAAAAAAAAAAAACCTATATACAGCTATACAACTGAAAATCTAATACCGGTATCGGCCGATATTGAGAATCGGTTAATGGTTCGGCCCACCCCTAATTATTATAGTTGTTATATTATTTTAAATTTAAAAGAATATAGTTACCTGATATCGATTTCTTACAGACGATTTAAAATCTGAATTGAAAAACACACGATAAAGAGTTAAACATTTTCCAAAAAATATAAATATTCTATAAAAAGAGAATGCGTTTTTTATTGTCGACACGTCTAACATGTAAATGAGAGATTTACAGAATAATAATATGGCTCGCAGTAATGTTAATTCGTGTAAGAACAAAAAATAACCAATACAAAAACATTTAATATTTTTTCTTATGACTACTGTACTATTTAAAATGAGCCTATTGCGATATCCTCGACAATCGTTTGGTTAGTTTTAAAGCATTATTGTTAAGTAGTCAAAAATCAATTTATTTATCATTAGGTTTAAACACGATTTGAATTATTACGAATAAACATTAAAATGTATAACTGCAACAGAATGTTTTTATATTTATGATTATAGTATACCTAAAAAAAGAAATTGTTTAAAATTTTCCTAAATTAAATGATTACTTATACGAATAAAATTCGGCTCTTCGGCTTTGGGACTAATGACCCGTTACCGATAGCAAATTCGTCTAGAAATCATCTCATGATGGCTTCAAACTATATGAATACATGAGTATGAAGTTGATAACAAATAAAATGTATTAAGTTCAAATTTTTCAGTTTTTCAACAAAATATTATACGAAGTATTTTTACATTTTAACATGATGGCATCGAAACAATAATACTTCGTTAGTATAAACTGTAATGAAAATTATGTGAAACAGAGAAACCGCTATCGTGACGTAACCATCAGCGTATTTTTATTTTTTATTTCAACGATGAACGTATATTATAATATATAATTATTATTAAATTTGTCGATCATTATTTTTTATATGAGTAAAATATTAACTAAAATCAAAATAATTTTAAAAGGTTTTTAAACAATTTTTATGAAAACATTAAAATAGGTAGGTTACGTTAGGTTAACCTAATCTAGGGTTTGTAAAATCTTAATGGTTATAATAAAAATATTGATAATAATTTTCAATATTAATATTTTAATCGCTTATATTCTATTTAAAAATAGCTTTTAGTACAATTATTATAGTTTTTATTATGTTTTTCAGTTTTCCCAAAATACTAATGAAATACTTGTGATCAGTAAAGTCCGTATTGTACATAAGTCAGAGAAAATATTCAGAGCATATTTTATTTTTAATATTACATATTGATACTGGGAAATTTAAAAAATAACATTAGACTTAAATTTTTGAAATACATAAGTATTATGTAAAGTACAAATACCTAGAATATTTATCTTATAATATGTTTGTTGTTTTAAAAATGTTGATGGTAAACCACAGCTGTTTGAGTAACTATTACACCTATAAGTATTTTTAAAAAAGTGTTAGATATTTTTTATTACTTTGTTTTCGTACGTTATATTTATCAAAATAATTCTAAACGTATTTAAATATTGGAAAATTGTTTTTTCTATTTTGTCCTCTATAATATTACGACAAGAATGGAAAGTTCGAAAGTAAAAAATATACCATGGATACACAAACACTTAGATTTAAATCTAAAAAAAAAAAATAAATATCTGGACTCTTTTAATTGAAAATGGCGAGTTTATATTTTAGGTAAATAAAGATAATCATCGCAGTTTTTTTTAATGGGAGATTATAAATTAGTAGATTTAATAAACGCAATTTCCTACCCTTGTATTTAATCGAATTTAAAACGTACCTGTGTGCATGTTTGTGTTGAACAACGCACCGTAAATCATACTATCTGGTACTGTGTGTATAATTATACTCGTTATTATATTCGTTTTTGATTACTTATGTTGATTTTGAAATATATTCAATAAGTAGTTTATTGTTTTTGAAAAATGTTATCCCGAGTTGGTTAAAGTCCTTAATAATATTGTATGTTTTTCATAAAAATATAAATAATACCTACGTGGCCAATATTCGATGTAACTTGGTTGAAAAGAGATAAATAAAGAATATACAAATATTTTGTATGATTCGATTGTATGACCAATCAATAAAACAAACTTTAACTAAAAATAATGATTTTATGGATTTGTTTTCTTTATGTCTTGTTGTAAAGTAATACGTAATAATATAATTTCAAAATTGTTCCAAGTTGACCGATTTGAGCCAAAGTAAAGAAGAGTAAAAAAAAAAAAAAAACCAAACCTTACGTTTATGAAATATTATGTGATGGTACCCGTGAATGAGTCATCTGTATAATAATAATAATATAATAAATACATTCTTATGTAACATTTATGTATGGCAAATTTGAGCAACTTAAGCTTATTATAATATTATTTATAAAAGCTATTGGTTGTAACGGTGGGTGGTGTACTATAATATTATCGGTGAAACATTTATAAAACTGTATTATTATTGTTATATACGTCCCGCGGTATTTTATAATAAGTATAATATATATATATATATATCCACGTATGAATAATAATTCATAAATCGACTTGACCACGTCGTTTTCACAATAAGGATTAAACAACAGGCAATTTCGCTAATAATAATAATAACAACAACACGAATGTGCGTATATTCGTTTAATTTTAACGGTTTAATTATAATAACAATATTATTCGCCCCCCGCTCCCTCCCCTTCCCCCCTCGCCTATCCTTCCCGGCCGGACAAATCCTATACGAATGTCTCCAATATATTGTTGGACTTGAAAATCATGTTCGGTTGCGTTTTGAATAATTGCCCGAACGTGACGCGAAACTGTTTGCTCATACAGCAGTAAAATACGAAATTCAACGACGCGTTCAACAGGGCCAACATGTCCATTAGCTCTCCGAATAGATTGTAACACGTCCGGAAAAAACACCTTCCTAGTATGCCGCTCAGCAGACCCAGTATTCCCTGGGGGAATTCCGTGGCTAGGAACAACAACAACACCGCGATCATTATTCGACTCGTCCGGTCCATTCGCTTCTTGAGTTTCATATTCCTAAGACGGGCCATTTGTTGTTGGGTGGGCAGTCGTTTTGCTTTCCTTTCGGACGCTTCGCTCAATGCGTTTATCTAAAAATTCAACATTTTGACTTTGATATATTTTATCGTTGAAATTCTACATTTTTTTTTTTTAACATTATTGTTGTTATTTTTTTTACAAAACAATATGGTATACAATTTAGGAATGGGCCGATACCACGTTTACTTGGATAAAAACGTAGGAAAACTGGACATTTAATAACGATATCATTATTTTCAATCTTGTATTTTGTTGGAATTCGGTTAAAATTTAAAAATAATCTTAAAGACCTGAAATATTCACAAATTATTTAGCTTCTAAAAATAGTAAAATTTTCAAAACAATCTGGTGATTTTTGAGCAATTTATATTTTGTATAAACATTGGCTATTCGAGTTTATTTTAGATTTTATTTAGTTCTATATGTTTAAAATTGTTTTCGCCAAGAAAAATTATTTAAAATTGTATAAAAGTTTCATCATAAAATAAATATTTAGAAATTAAAAACAAGTTAAGCGTAACTGTAGTAGTTTTTTTAAAATAATTTTTAAATTTTTTGACGAAAATAAAAAAATGAAATCATAAGAATTACAGAACTAAACTTCGTTTTGAATTGCATTTCGTTAGCAATGATTTATATCCATGTATTGAAAATTTAATTTCTTTCAATTAAACCAGTGGTTCTCAACCCCTTTTATTCTACGCCACATTTGTAGATTTTCAACAATTTTGCCCCTCCCCCTCTAATAAATTCCCTGGCATCCTCCTATGGTACCGATTAATCGAATCGGATAACCGGCTAACCACTCGTAATCTTGATTGATATTCTGATAACTGGTCTTTAATAATTTTTCATTTTTTCCCTACATTGTAAAATAAAAATAATTTAATAGATATAAATTTTACTTCATGACTTCTTGCACTTCACTAGAAATATGTTCACGCTCCCAGGTTGGGAAACACTGGGTTAGAAGTTAGAATTCTGTAAAAACTCAAGAATGCTATTCACGTTGTATTAGGTGAAAAATTTGTTTTTAAAATAATTATTGAACTACATAGTGTATACACGCGAATCATGTATAATGTGGTTACCTCTTGGAAATTTCAGAGTTGATATCATTATGTTTTTGTTTAAACAACATATATTGTATCTATAATCTGTATAGTATTTATTTACATGTTTTATAATAAGAAAAATAATATTAAATAATATGTTATTCAAAATATCGTTTTCATCAAAATAAAATTCGATATATTTGAGCATCAAAAGGTTCTAAAAATATATATTTTGTTTCATGTATAATACACGAATAAGTATTTATTTCTGTACTTTTTTTTTTATTATAAAAAGGCAAGTTGCTTGCAAAATATAATTTCACGAGACATGTATGATGACGGTAGAAAAAAAGAATTCGGACAGCGATGACACTTTTTAATTTGCCGTTTATTAAATATGGTTTATCCTTTTTATATATATATATATATAAAATTGAGTTCAAAAATAGAATTTTTATTAAAAAAATAGACGGACATACTTCGCACGTGGGTGGCCACTGTTATAGGTGAGAAGTTGGGAAGGTAGAGGGAAAATTTAATGTATAATTTTAAGCAACAATTAACCATTGCTAACGAAAAACAATTCTATGTAGAGTTTGGTTAATATTGTTGCTTTGTTATTTATATATATGTATATATTAGGGTGGTACTTATTTGGCTGATGGTAAAATTTCTTATTGGATGCCCCCTAACTTTGTTCTAAAAAATATAATACAAAATTTTGAGTCCTATTTGAGCTTTATAGGACAATTATTTTGTTCTCCTATAACGAGTTAAAGTTTCTCATTTAAAATATATTGGGGTTTTTCGTTTGTTCTAAATTTTGATTATATAAGGCATCAAAAATTGACGGTAAAATTTTTTCTTGAATGGACATTATCGAGAAGAAATTACTTTTTTTCCCCGTATTAAGTAATTTCTTTATCTCTTAAAAAATCGCATTTTACTCCTTGAAGGGTAATTACCCTCAGGTTAGGAAAGGCTGATCTCAGGCCTATCACAAGATATTTCCCGCCCTAAAGTGAACATTTCAATGCCGGTCGTTTTTGACAATAATTAATTTCATTTTACCGCTTCAATTTGATTAAAATTGTATGCCGCCCTAAAGCAACGTGTGGCTTGATTGTACCTTAGCGACGGACCTGGCTGCTCTATAGAAAAAACACTAAAAGTTTTCTTTGTTGAATATTTAATATTGTTGGTGACTAAGGAAACCGTTTTTTTTATTTTTTTTGTTGTTTTTTTTTAACAATTGAGCAAAACTGAAAAATGCGTAGAAAGAATGTGAAAATGTACGAAGTGAATTCTGTTATTATTTTAAATTTTATTTTTTTTAATATAACTCAGTTAAACATATTCTTAGTGACTTGACATTTTGACAAAAACGTATATTTATTTTTCTAATTTTTATAGACCTGGTAAAATGTTGAAAAGATTTGATTCATTTTTGAGCTATTTATGTATAATTTAATTTTGATAGTTTTTTTTACGAAATTTTTGTTTGGTAGAATGTATTTATTATAAATCATACTTAGTGGTACAAAAAATAATGAGTAGCTCATTGAGTATCTTATTTTTTTAGAATTTTTAAAAACAAATTTTAACAAAAATTGTTAATATTACGGCCTTTTCAAAATATGTATAATTGAACTTTGCTTTGAATCGTTTTTCATTAGCAATGGTTTATTGTTGCGTACTGGTATTAATGAAATAACTTTATGTATCCCACCTTCCCAACAGTGGCCGTACCTGTTCCCAGTATCAGGTCTTTTTTTAAATTTATTTTCTTCGTGGTATTCATATAAGGGTGCCGCGGCTAAATCTGATCCAAAAACAGATACTGTCCTCTAAAAACTTTGAGAACCGTAATTTATACCATAAAATATTCTCGTTTCGTGATTCGTATGTTCTTTAATGATTTACGAATAGTTTGAACTCGTTAAATTTCTATATAAATAGAAAAACGTTGTGATGAAGTTTAGATATCGTTTTCCATTTAGTTTTAAATTAGTTTTGAGTTGGAATTTTTCAAGTTCAAACTTTTGACTGGGTCATAAAAATATATACATTATTCGTATTTTTTTTTCGTTGAAGTGTAGGTATACTGTTACATAATTATATTAGAACTGACTAAATTTGCATTTACGTTTGAAGTTCCTAAATTATATAACTAATTATTCACTATAACATTAATAATCACAAGTGTCATCGTCTAAAATATTTAATGCAAATTAATCAATTAATTATTTTCTTCTTACACCTTTGTGTTTCATAATTAAAAGAAAAGAGCTGATTCAGGGGATGGGAGTGGTCACTGGTGTAGGTGAGAAGTTGGTAAGGTAGGATACATAAGGTTATTTCATTTATATCTGTAAGCAACGATAAACCATTGCTGATGAAAGACGATTCCGAGCGCAGTTCTGTAATACATAACTTGAAGTGCCGTAATTTTGTTTGCGATTTTCGTTTAAATTTGGTTTCAAAACGTTTATTAAAAAAAAAAAGGGGTCATCCGACGATTTTGGAAATTTTACCACGTCCAAGTACAATATAAGTATTACTACCAAGTTTCAAGCCTCTACATGTATTTATAACCGAATTACAGCAAATAAACTCCCAAAAATAAAAATTCTTTAAAAGCTCAAAAGTGGCTCAAAAGTTTTGATGATGATACTGTAAGAAAGTAAATTAAAAAAAAAAAAAAAAGGTGTCGTGTGATTTTTCGATTAATTAATTTTTTCTGGTAGAAAACGTCGTCCGTGTTTTTTTTTTTATAAAATAATGAAATTGTGAAATTGTACGTTTCCCTATGTTTTATCTCACTTAAGTGCTTTTATTTAAAAAATGGCGTCGAAAATCAAAAAATGACCTCGGAATCTAAAATGAGTTCTATTAATTAATGTGAACAAATTGTTCATTGATTTTAGGATTACTGAACTACCTAAGTAGTTTATTTGTATGTCCAGTCATCTAAATCTCAGTACGTTTTACATTTTAGCCTCTTCAAAAATCAATTTAGTTTATTTGTAAGCAAAACCGATGAGAAATTGAATGCATAATCAAATAATTATAGAATAATAAATCGATAAGTAAAAACTTGTATATTGTATATTATTTAAAATATCCAAGAAGTTTACCAAATTTACTCTCAATTTTGTAAAATTGAAAATTATTTTTATCATTTTACTGACAATCTAAAAGATAAGACTTTTTGAGAAATGTATTGCTTGATTTAAGGTGATTGAGTTATTACTGCCGAATTTTCTTAGTGGGAATAGAGACAATATTTTCTTATCAATTTTTTTTTTTACTCATAAACACAAACGTTCTACAAAAGTGCATTGAATTCCGATTTTCATATGATTTCAGTTCTAAAAAAGTTAAAAATTTACCGTACCAATTATAAAGTTTAAGATAAAAATACTAAAACAAGAAGGTGCGCAATGCGGTGCGTAATAAGTCTTTTTTTCAAACCAAAAAATAACCATCGGAATCAGACCACTTTACGAGGCGTGATCCCAAGAAAATTTCTTTTCAGAAAAGATGCTGCACTTGTTACTTCAGAGCAAGATTTTGGTAGAATTTTGGTACACGATATTAAAAAAAGAATAATAACAATAATAAAATAAAAATCATTGAAAAACCAATGCATTCCTTGCTCAGTTCAAAATCTAAAATATGCGGATAATTTGGGTACAAATCATTACTACTAACGTGAATAAATATATTTAAATCTGCACTTAATAAAAATATATTTTTGTAATTTTTGAATAATACTAAAGTTTTTACATCATTGATTCATAAATTTCGTGTTAATAATAATTTAAACGTTATAATGTAATGCACATTAAGCCTATAGGTACCTGCTATACTATATTAAACATTATTATACGTTATATGTATATCTTTTAGCTCCCGTTTAAGTTAAAAGAAAATAGCAATTTCTTTAAAGTACCGCCGACCCATATTTTTCATTATGAATTACTGAAATACAAAATACAAATAAATTATTGCTACGCCTGCAACCAACACGCATTAGACTAAAACTAAAACTGAAGTTAAAAAAAAACTTCTGTAAGAATAAAAAAAAAAAATCAAAATTAATAATTAAGTATTTTATTTTATTATATTTAAATATGTATAATTTACTTTACGGTAACTATAAGGGATTTTTAATTTCGAATAGGCGATATAAAGTTGCTAGAGGATTATTATTATAATAAATGCCTTCTGTACCTATATAGGAAAATATATATTTGTTTACATGATACTATGTAGTTGTAAAATCTTAAAATAACATTTTTTATATTTATGAAAAGTAAGTATTTTGGATACTGTTTTTATGAGCGTCTAGTCAAATTCGTAACTAAGGTTTTAGTATATATATTTTTTTGTTTTAGTTTTTTTGTTACGTGCGCTTATTTTATAATCGTAAACGACGTTATTAAGCACAGTTCGTTACTTTTAAAGTGAATTTAAACGACGGTGGGAATATAAATATTTAGTGCGTTCTAGGTGGTCCACTAACGAAAGTATAGGTATAGCCAGTATAAGTAACAGCCACCTTTTAATTTCCAAAGAAAATGCGAAAAGTTGCAAGGAATATTTAAATCGTATTTTGGACGAAAAAAAAGTATTGTTCTCGTAGTAATAGTAATAATATAATATAAACATTTGAATAGGGAAATGATAAGTATTCCTGCACACGAATCATTTCGAATCTAATGTGAAATTTTGTTGTGAATCTTTTAACGTGTTTTCATTTCAACACATATTTACAAAGTTTTTATTGGTTTTTCAGTTTTGTGTTTTATCGGTTGATACTTATGCAATTGACGATTTTGTATAGAAACTATTTTAATCGAAAAGCTTACGATCAGAAAGTAAGTACCATTGAGAAAACTACCATCCTCTATGTTCAGACTTTTATCTTTATTATCGAGTCTTTATCATTATCGGACGTGTGCCAAATAACAGAAAATAATTAAATGTAGATGTGATACCTAAATTAATAATCTCCTTATTTTTTCGTTCAAATATTTTTCTGCTAAATTATTTTCCAATAATTTTGTTTTCAGTTAAATGTTTTTTGTGCACCTAATTTTGTGTACATTGAAATATTATTCGGATAAAATATTTTCAGAATTTTAATAAGTCACCCTTAATGCTTTGACTGTATACTATATATACACCGATCATTTATGTTATACTTACCAGTGATATGGTAACGACTGTCAGTAGCAGACACGGTATTAATTTAATGATCACTGCGTACGTCCATAGGTGCACCATATACAGTAGTTCATGGTTTACTCTCGCCAATGTGCTCAAGCCTAAATGGTAGAGTACGACCACCGTATTGTTTTCAATTATCTCAGTTTCTAGTATTTCGAAAACTAGAAACGTGGGACTGCAAATTATGAATGGCAACAGGTACGACAACTGTATGGCTATACTGCATCGTTGATCGGAGCATATGGTGTGCATGGAGTTAGGCAACCTGAAAAATATTTAAATAATAATAATATTGCATGAGTTGAATTACATGCTACATTTGGCCTGATTGAGACATATTGACGATTAATGCAGATTATAGGTTATAGGTTAAGTTAAAGTGATGCACACTAACCCAATTCATGAATTAAAAATAAATAAATGAATAAATCATGAATTGTACAACTACGAAACTTTAGTATATCAGGGCTGCGTACTTATATAGTTATATAGATGAATAAGGTCCAAAAATAAACTGTTTAGAATTTTTTTCGAAAACATTAAAATTTTTTAACCAATTTAGAACAAACTAATGTATTATTGTGTTTTTATAAAACTATACGATATACATGTTAATATAAAATGTAAATAATGTCGATATAAAATGTTGTACTATATATAATATCTCGAAATAACTGATCAAGTTTGATGAAATATGTGTACAGGATTTATCAAATTTCATTGTTACAGTCAAACTTTCAATGACATACTTATGTTTACACTTCTTGGAATCGTTTATTCTAAAATGTTACGTTGCCTTAATTAGTTTCACGCTCATTTTTGAAACTGAAACGAATATATACTTCTGAATTTCAAATATCAACCTATCCTGAAAATTCTATTAATAGATTGAGTATTTATTTAAATACATTTTGGTGATTTTTGTTAACTCTTTTTGAAAAATAAGTATTTCATGGAAAATTGTACTGTAACAAGAAATTTGATAATCCCTCATATATACTATAGCTGTTCTGTACTTGCTGGCTTGTGACAAAATAAATGACCGTATTATTATTATATGACAATCAAATCCAATTATTATAACTTTTAATCAGTTATAAAAATTATGGATGTAAGGTATAGTTGTTTATGTGATTCAAAATAACTTGAAACGGTCTGGACGTATCCAAATACATAAAAAAATTCGATTATAAAACTTTCTATTTCAGTTATAAGACTCAAATTTTGTAAAATAAATGTAATTGTTGAAAATGTACATTTTTGGTGAAATTGTGTAATATACTCCCGATGAAGCCCGAATTTTGCCAGCTATTGCATTTCACATTCTCGTAATTCATATTGTTGTTGTAGTCACAGTCTGCATTCGAATTTCAACACCATTATTTTAATAAATAACAATTTTTTTGAATACATTTTATAATATGTAATATGTAAAATATGTAAAACATTTGAAAGGAAATAAATAAGTTGTTTTCTTTAATTTACTTTTAAGGTTCATTCAGTTATAAGACTTACTTTGGAACCAACATAAAGTGAATCTTATCTCTTATGAGCGACGCCCACTGTACATGTAATAATATGTTTAAAGTTTCCCGTAAAATTGTTGCTTTATAACAACCAAATTAAATAATAATAGTTATTTTTCTTCTTGTTACCGTGGTAACCCATACATCAACATAAATTATTCGATTTTTGTACCAAAAACCCCGTGTCAGTCTTTAGGGTTTGAATTTATAGGCAGAACCTGTGTCGCCCGAGATTAGTGTAACATTCTACTATACCTAGTTCTACGAGTGAACGAATTTTCAGAATCAGATAAACAGTTACATGGATTGCTTCCTGAAAACATACATACATTCATTATATATACATACATACATACATTATATATACAAATTTTCCTATTAAAAGTAAAATTAAGGAAACCTAATAATAATAGTTGTTTTTCTCTATGTAAAACGTATATACAGTGCGTGACATTTGTTTTCAACTATTTTAAATAGTGATTGAAATTGGAGTTTTAAAACGTAACAAATTAAAAACTAATTAGTTTAAAACTACCGCGGTAACGTATTGTATGGAGTCTACAAAAAAATTGAAAATTGATTTAGTACTTCCGATACTTCCTGGTTTTCATAATATCTGGGAAAAATCATGATAAAACGTAAAAAAAAAAAGAAAATTTATGAATATAATGCTTTTATAATTTTTCAATTTTTTTATTTGTTGTAATTCAGTTAAAAATATTCATATCGATTATATGGACTTAAAATTTAAACACGAAATATATATTTGCCTTTTCTAGAAGTGATAAAATTTTTAAAAAAATTAGGCTATTCTTGAGGTATTTATAGACAATTTTATCATGAGAGTTTTGTACGTAATATTTATTCGGTAGGTATTCTGTGGTAAAATTATTAGACTTGAACAAAAATATTTTAAATTTAACAGGAAGTCCATTAAAATTCTTACTTTGTGGTAAAAAAAAAAATTGAGTTTAATGTATTATTTTTTTTTTTATGAGGGATTTTTAATATCAAATTTTAATGAAAAAATTATGTGGAACAAATTTAATTTTTTAATTTGTTTTTTTTTTTAATATGTTTATTGCTGATTTAATAACTATGGTGAAGTTAGAACTCAACGGACTGAATAAGTTTTGAAATTATAGATTTTGAAGTTTTAATATTATGCGTATATTATGTGTTATTTTAAATAACTCTATATTGTCCATTTTTAAGCAGATTTGTTGTGATATAATGGTTATTTATACCTTTTAACATCCTAGGGATTTCAAGTTTAAACCAAAAAATGTTTTGAATTTTTTTCTCTTTTACCTAGATAAGAAATAACTAATGCATTTTTGGATGTACCTAAAGATCCAAGTCATCGCTTTCTCGGACTATTTTAATCGCAAAATACCTCTCGATTTGTTGTGCAAACTTTTCTACCAGAAATCTTGCTCCGATGTATCAATTGTAACTTATTTTCTGAAACGAAATTTTATCACCACAGTAATTTAGAGAAGTCGTTTTTTAATTTTTCATGCGGTTTTCATAACATCTGGGTAAAATCGGGATAAAATGTCGGAAAAACGGAAAATAAACGAAATGTAAATATTAGTAAAAGATATTATGTCCTTTTTTTTCTATGTACAATTTGTCTACCAGCAATTTTGCAATGTCACTAACAGTTTGATCAAATATTGATAATATTGTTATTACTATTGGTGTTATATTTAATCGTTACACGGTACATACCGATATTCTTGGACTTGATCTAAGATATAATAGATTTCATTGTTATAGATATGGTGTTAACACTGATATTATCGTTTATACCATTCATCTATATGTATATCGTTTACGACTATATGATCAGAGATGTATATACATTGTTAGTGTCCTGAGACACTGTTCCTTTAATGTCTTTTCATAAGAACACATTTTTTTTAATACACGTGAAATTTTGAGTTGCAATGCACTTTGTATTTTGTACTACATACTTTTTGCTCTAAAACTCACTATTTCAGGCCCAGCTGAAATAGTATAAACTGTGGAATTTGTTTTGAAAAATCACATTAGCGAGTATCCGTCATTATTTTTTTAACCGTCTACAGTATTATATATGTATAAATAGTAAATACCGTTCCTTTTTTTTCACACATTCTTTTATTATAATTATTTTTTTACAACTGATATTTGTATATACAATTTTTCTCGAGTATACACATATAATCACGTACATACACATACTCACACACACGCACACGCATAGCCTGCATAGTTTGTCATGCACAGGAATACGAAATTATTTATCCCTCATATTAGTTAAAGTCCAGAATAATAACTCCGAGATTTACTGAAATAAACTGTAACAGTCCTTGAATAGTTTATACAAAATAATATTATTACCATACGAGCGTCTGTACTTTTATGTAAGCAAAATGAAACTCAACGTTAATAACAACAAAATCACATCTAATAGTATTATAGTATTATTTCTGATTGCCTATATTAAAATTTAAATCAATTGATAAATTACTTTTTGCGACTAGGTGATCAAAAAAAAAAAAAAAAAAAACTGTACGATTAAAGTTGTATTCGTACACGAATATGATTACCTATATAATATTTTATCGATAAAAAAATGATTATTCTTTTTTTTTTACAGAGAATTAATAGTAATATTTAAAATGAGTGTCAACACGAGGGTTCCGAAATTCATAAATAAAAAAAAATATATAATACCGACATAATTTTTCAGGCCACATGTATAAAATCAACATATAAAGTTATAACCAGGGGAGGGTGGGCAGAAAGAAAAATATTCCTTCATAAAATTATAGAGAACTCCTACATTGTGCAGATGGGTGAGTAATAAAGTAACTTTTATTTGATTAATATACTACAAAAAAATCGTATTCGTCATCATTATATTATACATACGCAGTCGTTGCCTTATTGTAATTCAAAATCCGATTTTAGTGACGAGAATGTATTTCTGAATAGTCTCAAACTCGGTTTGATATTAACGAAATCACGGTAGTAGAACTCCGTATATTTGTTTAAAAAAATATATAATTTATACACCTACCAATATGTATTATTGGGATGTTTCACGAAAATCTGATAAATGATATAACTTCTGTTCTGTTTAATTTTACAACTTTTTTTTTATAATAATTACTAGATTCTTTCACTGTTTTAAACAATCTTTTAAAACTAAAAAAATAAACTGTTTTTACAAAATCCAAGAAAACTATTTTATTAAATAATATATTTTTCGGTGCTACACATATTAACTAATCACGAATCATTAAGTTCCTACAACTTGTTTAAAATCTTAATTAAATATATTTATAAAATAGCTATATTGGATTTTGTGTGAATAACTAAACATTTTTTATTGCTCGTTTAAAAAAAAAAATTATAAAATAAGGAAATTATAGCACAAGACGCTATAGTAATTATTAAGGGAAAAAAATTTACAAATATTGAATAAAACAAAGGTAGGTAATTACATCTTTCAGATCGCTATAGTATTAGATTATAATGTATATATATGTATATTTTTTTTTTGTACCTTGATATTATTTTCTCATACTTCTTCTAATATTGGGAAAACCCCCTCCGAAAAATAAGAAAACGTATATGATATTTCTATTTTTGTCAAAAATCTAACCACTGTAAAAACTTACATTGTAAATATCAGATTCGAATAGTTTTTTATCAAGTTAATTTTTCTTGTATGATTTTTTTTCTATCTCAACAGTTGATGGATAACCTTCTAATATTTACTAAAATAGCATATGAATCATTTTTGATTTTACAAAATTAAATTTAAAACGCATTAGTTTATAATTGATACATTTGACTAGAGCTTTATAATTATAAATCAAAATAATGTAATTTAAACATAACTAATAATAAACGCTTTAAATTTTTCAAAATTCGCTTATAGAACTACTTGAACAGAATGCTAAAAAATGAAATTGGTATTTCTAGTTAAAAAAACATTCTTAAATTGCTTTCTTGAAAATAGGCCCAACATTTTTATTTTGGTACCATTAATCTTTCATAAAAAAAAAATTAATTTCCGACTGAGTTATTGCATGTTACCATTTCAACGGCACTACACTGTATGTATATTATCGTAATAATATCATATTGTATTTTTTTACCGAATAATTCTTAAAACGACAATTTCTGGTTCTGTTATAGGCAAATTAAGTATAGGTATAGTTATTTGGTATATTGCAATTTTGTTAGATAATGTCCGTTTAAAAGTTTCGTCGGGAACGACTACCCCATGAAGTCTAATACCAACGGAGTAACAATATAGTTAAGGATATTAGCGGAATAATACACGCCGCCCTCTAGATTGTCCGAGGAATGTCCACGTCATTTCCATCCTTGCCGTTCGCAGTTTTAAACGCGTTCAAAGCTTTTTCGCTCAATAACAGTTAACAATCCAATTATAGTTGATAATATATATATATATTATATACTATATATACTATATATACTATATCGGTCATACCTAAATACCCTTATTGTTAAAGGCCGAGTACCGAAACTCCAGGACACTATATATTCATGTATATATATCCTCTAATACGATTTCGTGTTGAGCGTATACCCGTACTATTTAATTCTGTTTCAGTATTTTCGGTTATTTAAGTCGCTTTAGATATTTAGACGAAAACTTCAACTAGTATAAATAAATCTATAAACAACTTATATAAATGCAATCTATAAGTATGTATACTCGAAGCGTATCTAGAAGATTTGACAATCACAATAACTTTGGTGTTCTACTTAATAAAATACATATATACAATTTTTTTTTTTTATTAATCGTTCAAGTAATAATTTTAGGATTTAAAACAAATTTTTAACAACACAAATTAAACAAACTATGTTATAAAACGTATGTTTATACATTAGAATAAATATAAAATTAAAAATAGCTTTTTTTTCATATTGATTATCTGAACAATGTCGGACTAGGTTATCTTCATTTAACTTTTATTATATACGATATCATATCATCACAATACAAATAATTTTTATCACACGTACTAAATTGAAGTAAAAATTCTCGTCCGACGACTCGATTTTGAAATAATATATAATTGTTGCTTGTATACGAGCCATCTCATAACTTTTGGAAATAATAATTTATTGATAACTATAACATAGTAAATGGTATACGACGGGAATACAATTATTATTATAGCCGTCTTCTAGTAGACGACAAAACGATTTTGAGCTTTAAGTGAAATAATGAACTTAAAAGTTCAAACCAAAGAATAATTGTATATTATTTTGCAAAAGTGTGCCTATACTAAACTCTTGAATATTGTATTGTAATTTTTTCTTATTCAAATCGACACCGCATTAAAGAATTAATTGAAGTGGACAATCTATAATATATTGTCTGGACCGCGACTGAAATTATTATCGTACAATATTCCTATAGCGTAAAATAACGTGTATTATCATCAACATATCGTTGTCGATGCTATTGCAGGTAGCGAGAGAAAATATTTTTTCGAGACAAGCAATAAATAATCGATTTCCTACAACACTTGTTTATATAACAAACTTCTAACTAGGGGTGACTGGATGGGTGGGCCGATACATAAAGTTATACTCGATATTGGGTTTTTATTTCAAAATCGATATTTGTTCCCATACTTTCGGAGAAAAATATTTATTATATCTCTGGAAAATAAAAAAATTTGTTTAAAAAAATCCGTTTTTCATCTGATAAATCGGTTAATTTAAATATCAACTCATAGATTTCGATATCGGATATCGGTGGTAATATGTTATGTATCAAAAATATCAATATCGGTGATTAGTGGTATTGACCCATATCCCATTATAACGTATTAATAATTTGTTTTAATTTTTATCCATAATATAAAAATTAAAAAAAAAAAATGTATTTCCTTAAGGAATGTGCATTTTTTTTTTTTTTTAGATTCTGAGCGGAGCGAGAAATATGTTGGTTTTACAATGATTTTTATTTTATTAATACTATTGTTTTTTTTTTTTTAATACTGTGTACCAAAATTCTACCAGAAATCTTACTCCAATATATCAAGTATTGCACTTTTTCTAAAAGAGAACTCTCTTGGGATGGTACCTTAGGGAGGTCATTTTTTAATTTTTCCAGGAGTTTGCCCAATTAATGGGAACAACTGTAGAAAAACCGGGAAAATGTACGAAATATATGTACGGTCAGCAAAACTAGGTGGGTGATCATTGGGCGTCTAGTGGCAAATTTCTGGCAGTGATTATACAAAATTTACATTCAATCAACATTGTACAAAATTAAAACAATCGTATAATAAAATCATAATCAACTAAAACGATAACAATCAACACATACACGAAGAGCAGAGGATCGAAGACTAACGTATAGATTATGAAAAAAACCGTTTTTGTACACAATTTGGTGTCAATAGAATAACAATACAATAACCGCGAGCGACGGTTCCAAGCACCCGAGCAGTTTGCTGTACACATATTTACATTATATATGTTGTACATATACGTTACGTTATACCTTATACGATAAGATAATATACGATGTACATTTAGTAAGGATACACAAAATGGTTCATAAAACAGCTGCAACACAGCTACACCAGATATTAATTTATTAATTTAATAGATAAAACTTTTAGAATCCCTGGTTTACATGAGAATGGCCGCCTGGCGCGCGACGGTCACTCACCTAGTTTCGCAAACCGTACTTTTTTTATAGTAAATATTGCGGCCTTTTTGATTTTTCCAGCTGTTTTCATAAAAAATGGGGAAAAATCACAGGAAAACAGGACAATTTACGAAATGTATTATTTTAAAAATCGTAAATGTTACAAACTTTTAAAAAATGTATAGCCGAACTCCGTTTAGAATCGTTTTTTGTTAGCAAAGATTAATCGTTGTATATACTATATATTGAATTTCTCTCTATCTTTCTCTCACCTTTCCAACTTCTCATTTATAACAGTGGCCCAAATCGTGCAAAGTATGTCTTCATTTTTTTTTTTGTAAATCGATCGGTGAATCTTAAAATTGATTTACTAAAGATGATTTATTGTTTTCTTTTGTTCACCAAAATGACTTTGCAAGATAATCTCAAGTTCAATGATTAATAAAATTGATTTACTTGAATGGTTTTTTTTTTTCGACAAATTTCATAATATCAGAGTTAATATTTGTGGTAATAACCGATTAAAATTGAATTTTCATATTTTTGAAATGGTAAATTTTGGTTTTTTTTTCGTTAAAATTGCATGTATAGGCAATTTTAACCCCTGAATACTGAACGGTTGACGTATTTTTGAGAATTTTGCCGTGTGTAAATTATTTAAAATATATATAGGCGGTATTTTTAATACTTATGTATTATAATTTAGTTTAAAAATAAAAAATTGTACAAGGAAATGGTTTTGTGATATGGAATATAATATCTCATATTCGTTTACACTAGATAATGAATTAATTTAAAATATTCAAATCGTATTTCCGGTACTAATATTATGTTTTTTTTTTTTTTTTTTTTATATAATCTAACTTTTATAATTTTACTCTTAAATATTCTTAAATTCATCTGAATTTGTTTCGAATACGTTTTATAATGTTCTTTGAAAACAGATCATTTTCAATTTATAATAATAACTCGTACATTAAATTTTAAATAATAGTTTATGTAAATCTGAGAGTATTTGATATATAATCAAACGAAATTTTTAACTTGAAAGTTAATCAACTTTTTAGGATTTTTTTTTAAGAAAATGAATGATAATGATTAGAAAAAGAAATTATGGTCTCCTTGTATCCCAATTCTAATAACGTGGTTTTCCCGGTTAATGCTTTCTCTAAAATGTTTGATGTAGATATAGGGAGATTAGCGAAGAGCAAATTGATACTTGGTACTTTTTTTCGAAGGGTATATTTATTTAGAATTTTCTATTTGATGTACTATACATTTCGAAAATGGAAAATACACCAATAAGGATTACTTAACTAATACTATTAAGCAAACGTTTGAATGTAAATTTTTCAACTTTTCGGAATCTATATTTTGAACGTAGGATCAACTTCCAATGAATTTGAATGTATAGTTTGTGACGTCAAGAAAAATATTAGTTTGGCACACAGATATCCGGACTTACCGTAAACAAAACATTAAATATGTTTTATATAACGGACACATGAATCACCAGTTTTGCAAATAACCTGAAATGAAAGGACGAGAAGATGAGGCATAAGCTACAAAAATCGATCTATATACAATTATCACGGGGATGTAAATAATGTTCAATATTTTTTAGGTTAATCGATTTTAAGATGTGTTTTTTAGCTTAGAAAATACTTTCTGGGTTAGTAAAAAAAAAAATAATGCTTTAAAAACTCTCATACTTAACATAAAATATGTGAAATCTGCGCCCTATAGCAACGATTCTTTATCTGTAAGATACATTTGCGTAATCTCGACAGTTTTAGGTTAAGACTCCTGACTCGAGATTCCTCATGTTATTATATTTTGTTTTGTTAATTTATCCGAAGCCCTAAATATCAATATTATGTATGCAAAGAAAACCAAAAGTATTGTACAGAAATTATTAACATATGTTATTATTTTGATAGAAATTCGCACTATTATATATGCTTTAGATACTCTGCCGATTGGAAAGCAAGGTTTGCGTGTTATTTCGCTAGCAGTTCTGGTTAATTTCCAGTAAAACAAAACAAATTAATTCATAGTGAAAAAAGGTACATATTGATTTAAGAGAACTGTTGATACTGCATGACGACAAGGTCTACATGATATGTTACGAGTTTATCAGGAAAAGAAAATATTATTAATAACGTTACCTGCCATTGCTGGATGAGGGATGTTTGAAATAGATCGTCGTCTTATATAGGTGAAAAAAAAATAGTTTTTCGATCCTAATACCTATTTTGAGAGATTTAATCTCCAGACAAATTTTTGTGACGTTTTCCAAGAGAAAAATACGATTATCTTGGTAACATTTTAGTAATAGCTTCTTCGCTCTTTACTCTTCTCGAAATCTAAAAATATATTGTATAAAATAATAAATGCGAAACCGTGTTGTATATTAAATGACTAATGAGCAGATTTAATATTTGTTATCATGGGAAAAGAAAAATCTGGTTATTACCAATAATAGAATATCTATACTTATCCATTAATTGTACATTGTATTTATATGATATATAATCAATGGCCTATCTATAAAATAATAATTTATCTCTGAAAGTATATAGTGATTTTTATAACTTGTTTAATATATAAATTTGATTTGTTTTTTTTCAATCATTATGTAAAGGAAGTATGTCAGAGGAAGCGAAGAAACGAGTAGTAAAATGCATATACCTATCCGTTTTTAGATACCATAATAGCTAGGTCTTCCTTACACTTTCTGTCTAAATTTTAAACTAATAAATGGTAAATCCAATACTAATGTTATTTTTTGTTTCGAAAAATATTATTTTTTCGAATCTGGTTTTAAAAGGGTAGAGGAGAGACAGAAGATATTTTATTGTAAGTAAAAAAACCAAAATAAATTGCATTCAAAATATCCGTAGATAATCGTTAAATCATGATGAAAAAAATCACCTTGTACCTATTATATTATATTGAATGCACTGGCGACTTTACAATATTATTTTAAATCGTAAAAGTTATTTTATTTATTTATCATCATTTTTTAAATTTTATTATTAAAATTATTTCAATTTTCATGAGTATCACATCATTGTGCATGGATTTTCGTACGAGCCAATCCTATCCCATAGCCTAAACGATATTTATATTATGTAGATTTATTTATCATACATTATACAAATATACAATATTATGATATTTATTTACGGAATATATTATCTATAAGTGTATAGAACAGACGGCTTTTAGATTCGATTTAATATCCGACCTACCGAAATCCGAATAAAAACGACACAAGGAAACACTATGTAAATAATATTGTTTTCCGGTTGATAAACATATATTTAGAGAACATGTATAAACAATTCTGGCATTTTGAACTACTAAAAAGATATAAAAAATAGGTACGCATAACAATTCGCTTTAAATGTTGAATATTGGTCGTTGAATATTAGGTAGATATATGTATATTTTATTATTCAAACATATACTCGTATTCAGATTGCTTTTAATATTTTCAAATTGTGTATTTGTTTTGCAACTAAATGTATTTAATTTAAAATGTTCAATTTGATTTTAGCACAATATATGTTTAGTTCCATTCAGAATCGTATTTTGTTTATTATCAATTAATATCGTTGCGTTCTGGATTTTTTCTCGTCATGTTAATTTGTATAATATTATTACTTATTATTTTTACAGTTTTAATTGTATGTCCACTTTCAGAATCGTTGGTCAAACATAATAATAATTGCCGCGTTCAAATTCAAAATAATAATACACCATTATTATTACTCGTTGCGAGAGTGAACAAAAAAACGAGACAAGTCGTACTTAAAGCATCTAATTCTTTATCTGCGATGATACTCTTAAAACCCAATTAAAAACTTTATAGTGACACATTCTAAACAAATATTACACGTAAAATCGGATCGCGTTTATTAGAAATATAGTTTTTATTTTATTGGTATACGTGTTTTTATTCAATAACTTATTCTCTGATCTCCTTAGCTGTACCTAATAAAACGTTCCGAAAAAATTCTCCTTGGGTTGAATCGGGAAAGATCGATCGGTGCATTTGGCCGATCGAAAAACTGTGGCCGCGATAATATCGTCCGTTCATACTCATAAAATACCGTCTTTATATAATAAATGGAAATTAAGTGACAGTCGACCGGTGGCGTCGATTTGATCGAAACGGGATTATTAGATTGCCGTCGTGCAGTCAAGTCATTGGCTCGAAGTTTGGCAAAAATGCCCAACTTTGGCGATTATAATATTTTTATATAGGTATACACTTTTTTTTTTTTTTTTGTGAAATTTTTTTCAAGTAATGTTTTACATATTTAATAATTATTAGGTACAAAACACGTAATATTTGTTTTAACAAAGAATGCCTTTGTAGTGTTCTATTATTACAAATTAGATATTTTCGTGTCTTTTAGTTTAATTATCTTAATTTTTTGTCGCTAAATTATCATCGACTAATATTAACGATTTTTCGATTACTACATTAGCGCATTTTTCTTATTTTCTTATTTTCTTATTTTATTTTATAAACATAAAGCATATATCATCAAGTATCGTAATTAGATAACGATAAAAAAATGTGTCCTCATTTATCTCTTTGTTTCTTTTTGGTCTTTATTTCTACTTTAATCTACATGGTTTAAAAAAAAAAAAAATTGATAAGTGAATGTTCTAATTTCTTTTGAGCCTCTTCTCATTTTGAGTAATTTTACTAAGTTTATACATATACAGAGTGATCAATCTATCGTAAGACACTCATTATTTTGGAAAGTATTAACCCTTTCCAGAATTTATTTTCTAGAACATTTAAGAAACTGCTCTACAATTTTAAATTTATGTTATTTCTTTAATATTCTAGGAAATTAATTCCTGAAAAAGTTAATACTTTCCGAGATAACGAGTGTCTTATGATAGATTGATCACCTCGTTTATAGTACAATATACATACATATATGTATATATTAGGGTGGTCCTTCTTATGCCAATTTCAAAATTTCCTCCAGGATACCCACCCATCTTGTGTCACAAAATAAAAAAAATATCCTCAAAATTTGAGGCCATTTGGATAATATTTAGTGGAGGCGCACGGTGTTTTAATATTTAATTATAATAATATTAAATAATATCAATAAAAATCGTGTACATTATTTACTATTATGTATAATATATTCTTGGATTTTATATTTAAAATATTTTTAATTTTAAGGAAATTTTTTCGGGGGGGGGGGGTTATTTTTTTCCAATAAAAGGGAAAAAACGAAAAAAACGGGAAAATGTACAAAATGTATCAGTAAAATATTACGGTCTTTTTTTTCTTGTGAACAAGTTTACTACCAGTAATTTTGGTCCAATTTATAATGATAGCACTTTTTCTGAAATTAAATCTGACTAGAAAAGTACTGAGACTAGGAGGTCATTTTTCAATTTTCCCAAGATTTTTTTTTAAAGTATGTGAAAAACCGGGAAAAAACACGGGAACACCGGGAAAAACTTAAAAGAATCGGGAAAATCGGTACAATAACAAATATTATTAAAGAAAATAGGTTTATAATGCCTATTTAATTATTTTAACATAATATGATATACATATTTTTGACAAACTATCATTATCAACTGAATTCTGCTCAGAATTGTTTTTAATAAGTTCGACAGGTAGGATATAGAAGGGAAATTAATTTTTACCTGTAAGCAATGATAAAATATTGCTTACTAAAAACGATTCTGAGCAGAGTTCAGTTGATAGTGATACTTTGTCAAAAATATTTATGTCATATTATGGTAGGATAATTAAATAGGCATTATTAACCTATTTCCTTTAATAATTTCTCACCATTAACAGTGGCTGCATCCTGCAAAGTTTGTCAGTCTTTTTTTTTTAAACGGAAAGTTGAATTAATAATTCTAATGAACTAAAAAAATTTTTAAAAATTGAAAATAATAAACGATAAAAATTATTATAATAAAAGATATGTGAACAATAATTATTTATTAAAATAAAAAATAGTTTAAGTAATAAAATCCGAGAAAAATATGATGAAAATATACTAAATGAAAATTAAGTAGAATAATTACCGACAAGGGACAAACATTAGGAAAAAATAATTAGAAAACATTATACATTTTTGACACAGAAATTACAAATCAATACTACAAATATGATATGTAAAATGTAGACAAATTAAATTAATTTGGCGTTTATTCAGCCCTGTGAAATATTAAGTCGGCCGGTCTACCTGAGGTCACGAAGGCGGTCGGCTTTGGTGATGTTTTGACAGGGAACAGTCGTATTTTGGGTTTTCAAGAACTTATATTTTCAGAATGAAAAATAAAAATACCTATAAATACCTATACGAAAAGGAATTCGAAAAAATCACTGAAAATGTTTTGGGTTTTTACTATTTACCTATAATCTACGGTGCATAGGTCACAAACCGTCTGTTTCTTATTTTTATCGATATTCCTATTACTACCGTGGCAATATTTTTGAGCGCACTCATTCCGCTTGAACTGTTCACATAAGCACGCGTACCTTATTTCCTCGAATTTTTGAAATAAATGTCTTACTTTTTGAGAAATGAATATATTTTTACACCTAATATCTAAAAAAAAAATTTAAAAAAACACCGTTATAAATACGACAAGTTTCATGGAAATACATTTGTGTTTTTAACTGCATTTACAAATATCCTATTAATAATTACGTAAAGAATTTAAGTTCTTCAACCCCCCCCCCCCAAGGTATAAACAATTAAACAATTATTGCATTATCATATTTCTAAATGTAAAAAAAAAATACGGAAGTTGATGAATTCTTTAAATAAATATACATATATTTATATTATATTATATAATTCAATTTTTTTTTTATTATTAAAAAACGTACTTGCAATCTATATATAATATTTGTACAATAAGTAATTTGTTTGAAAGTATAAATAACGGGAAGTAACAGAGTGGGAAGGTACTCAGTAATATCATCTGACCATAATCCGATATAAAACTAAAATAATTTATATCAATAAAAATGATCACTGGAAACATCCACACTTATGATCGGGAAGAGAAAAGAATATGAAGAAACTAATGAAAGCGGAAAGAATATGAGTGTATACAATTAAACCTCTGAATAGCGGACACTTTCGGTCGTCGAATTTTTGTCCGCTATTCGAAGGTGTCCGTTATTCAGAGAGGGTGATTTTTCGAAATTCATAAACTGTATAAATTCATGTACCATAACTATGTAGATTTAAAGATATGTATATGTTATAATATTTTAATAATTTTTAATAATATTTGATTTCTACCAGAAAATTAATTCCTACGTTTCCGCTGTTTCGACGGAAGTCAAGAATTTGAATTTTTTCTCGAAGCGACAACCTCTTGCGCTTTATCCCACTTATCTTAAAATCGTACACACTTGTTACTTGTCGTAAAAATAAATCACTGATTAACAAAACTACAAACGAAACATTGGTAGTCAAGGTTTAGTTTTCGTCGTTTGTTATCGTATTGTTATCTTATCGTTCAATAACGAGTTTAACTTATCATTTAACCTAAAGCTGTCGCCAATTTGTTATTATTTTTAATAATAATCCACTGTAATAGGTATCTGCTATTCGTGATCTTATCAAGTTCGTATCGTTATAACATTCTTACGAGAGTACATATTAATACAATAAGTTTTGGTGCTGTCATTTTGTTTTGTTTTTTTTTTTTTTTTTTTATTAGGATTAAAATAGTGTCCGCTATTCGAAGGTTTTCTTATTGAAAAGTAGTGGAAATGTCCCGCTATTGGAAAGTGTCCGTTAGAGAAGGTTTCACTGTAGCTGTAAATACAGAGAATATAAAATATATGGTAGTAACAAGAAGACATGAAGATAGGTTCAGCCTTAAATTAGAAAATAATGAATTTAAACAACTGAAAGAATTTAAGTACCTCATAGTGATCCTAAATAACAAAAATAATATGTACGACAAAATAAATATGAGACTGAGGGCAGCGAACCAATGCTATTTTGCGAAAACCTCTTTAAATCCAAAACAATATTAAAAAAAAACAAAGAAAAACCGTATACCAGCTATACTAGACCAGACCTATGCATGCGCCATGTAGTCCTCAGCTAAAGGCGATGAAAAAACTGTAGGGTATATGTATAGTTTAAGGAATTTATATTTTCAGAACCGAGCCGATGAAATGGACAACAATTTTATTCGTTTGTTTCTAGATACATCGTCGTGACGTATAGTGGTAAATCATGTAATCGCTATTTTTTAGACCAAAACAAACACTGCAACGTAAACACAGTCCCTTGTAAAGGCACATGGCCGAAAAGATATCGGACAACCTTACAGATTGTGAGGTTTTTCATTTATGAGTTCAGCAGTTTTTAGAGCGGAGAAGTAGTAGGCAAAAGGTAGTCATCTCAAAATATATACGGAATTTATTACCATTTGTTATTCGTATGCTATTTTATTATTGAAAAGGAAGGATTGCCATTTGAAAATCAAAAGTTAATAAACATTTTAAGTATTAGGAATAGGGGTAAAAATGTTAAAATATATTATTTAAATGAATCTAAAATAATTCCATAATGGTAGAAAAAAAAATAGAAATTAAATTTACATAAAAACCAAAAAAAACCACTAAATCATAATAAAAGTATAATTTTATATACTCGTATGTTTCATTCTATTATGTTACGGTTCATTATATGTTTTACTCAGTAGTCAATAAAAAAAAGTTGAGGTTAATGTAGTTTTTTTTATAAAAATAATGTTAATATCAAATTGCGACGAAAATCGTAAATATTACGGCTTCATAAAACATGTATAACCGAACTCCGCTCAGAATCTTTTTCGTTATTAATCGTTGCATACATATAGATATGCATGAAATTCCCCTTTATATCCTATTTTAAAAACTTTTCACCTATAACAGTGGCCCACCTGTAGCGCGAAGTATGTCAGTCTTTTTTTTTTGTTACTTTCGTGAAAAATAATTTTAGAGGTTTTTTTGTAATAGTATTCTAGAGAGATGAGAGTGCGATGATTTATTCTAGTAGAGTTAGCGTTATTTTCGGTATACCGGCGAAGCGGTTGTTTCGGTAAATACTAAGAAGTTTTTATATTACACTGGTTAAACAATACGACAAGAATAACGCATCATTCAATATTTTTATATCATACAAAGAAATATTAGCTGGTTTTGCATTACCTGTGAGAATAACTAGTAATCAAAATTTATCATAATATAGTTCTTGTGAAGATCCATTATTATTACCTAACTTGTATACCTACAGGTACTTAGAAATAATTATTGATATGTATTAGCATACATATTTTATTTTATTATTTATATCTAATGTCTATATGATAAGAATATAAGAATACCTATATAATTAATATTTACATTGGTTATTCGATGTGGACAAAATACTGAAGTTGATTTGCTTAAGTAGAAATAACTACTGACGAAGTTGAACTCATTATTAAAAGTAAATATTCAACTAGGTATTTTTTTTTTACCTTATTAAATTAGCAGGTACTTATAAAAAAAAAACAACAGGCGTGAGACAACGTGAGTTCAATAGATTTTAAAATTAAATTAAATTTGATGATAATAAATAAAATAATATGATATAATAAAAATGATGATAACCTTAAAATAAAGATAACGATAAATTGATTACGATAACGTGTTTAACGTACAGTGTACGCCATTAAATTATGAGAAATAACGGATTACGATGATCATATAACTATATAACGGTTTAATACGTTTTTTTTTAACCGATGTAATACACCAGGTGTGTGTTGATAAATATTTTTTATAGATTTACTGTAAAATATGATCCAATTACCGGCGGCATTCATTTCAAGTAGACTAATTCAATATGGAAACGACCCAATGCGAGACCCAAGACAACAGAATGTTACTCGGTGGCAAAACTTAAGTCTGTAGACAATAAACGTATCTCGGATATTAGAAAACCGCAGTATAAACAAAACGGGTACCGTGTTTGTGCAAGCAGAGTGAACTCTGCTGTGTGATACCATTATTTGTAGTTTAAAACTGCAAAACCGCAACCTATACCGAACCGTGGGTTTTCGTGTTTTAATATTATAGGTACCAGTGGCGGGCGTCGTTGTTTTTCATTTTAAAGTTTCGTTTGAATTTTTCGTAATATTGTTTTAACAGTAAAATAGTGTTCTTTAGAGAGTATAAAAGTATATATTATATGTATATACAAAAATCGTAAACTGATTGTTAAATATTAACCGCTCAAGAACTTTACTATTATAATTAAAATTACACAGCGATGCTTTTGGGTGTGTGACGGACAAATTTATCGGGTCTCCGGTGATCGTATCGACAATGGTGAGATATCTGTATTTTCCGAAGACGGAATTTGATCATAAATCCCAATTTTGGAATTTAAAACTCTGAGTTTAGATTCCGGATATAGTAAAAAAGCCCTCTCTCTCTCTCTCTCTATATATATATATATATATTTAAGAAAAATAGTATATAAAAACTAAGCAATAATTACTAAATGAAAACATTCAATTGAACAGCGCAGTCATTTAAAAGAAACGCCAGATTTAAAATCTTAATAATTTTATTAAAAAACAACGAATTACATAAAAAAAAAATATGTCCTCGGATAATGGGGACGGATGAAGCCACTGTTATAGGTAACTTAATGTATACCTGTGAGCAACAATAAACCATTGCTTATGAAAAACCATTCTGAGCGGAGTTCAGTTGATAGTGATGCTTTGTCAACAATATATATAAGCCATATTATAGTGAAATAATTAAATAGGCTCTATATATTTTCTTTAATAATATTTGTTTAATGTTGCACTGATTTCCCCGGTTTCTCTACGTTTTTCCCGGTTTTCTTTTGTTTATTCCCAGTTTTTTTTTACATTTGCTGACAAAACTCCGGAGAAAATCGAAAATTTTCAAATCGTAAATATTACGTTCTTTCAGTCCATGTGTAACTAGATTCCGCTCAGAATCGTTTTTTGCAAGCAATGATTAATCTTTCCGTACAAATATACATTCAATTTTTCCTCTAATTTCTTTTTCAACTTTCCAACTTCTCACCAGTGGTTCACCAATCGTACGAATTATGTCCGTTTTTTTTTCTTTACAATGCTATCACAGTAACTATTACGGATACCTACCTATAACGGACATTTTCTATGGTCCTGTAACTGTTCGTTATATACAGGTTTCATTATAATTTAATTATATATATGTGTATAATATATTAATTTATATTTATATTTTATAATGTGATAAAGTGAATAACGGGGTACAAAGTAATTAAATGTATACCCACTAATCACTTAGATTACTTATTACAGCCTACGACGGTAGGAAACAATTAATATAAAATATAAACTATGAAGTGTAACAATAATATTCTTACCTATCCTGAACGGAATATCCTCAGCAACAATGTTGATTTTGAACACAGGTATAATTATATTTATTTATTGTGTTAATGAGAATAGGTAGTAGGAATGATAAAATAAACACTTGATTGATTTGCCAAGGCAGAATCCGGCCGCCGAAAAAAAGGAAGGAAGTGTTGAGTGCTGTTGTCCGGTCCTCATTATCATGTTTTATTATTATGTTGAAATATTTAACTGTTTACTATTTACTATTTTGTATTAAATCTAAATTGACTTACAAACTAAATAAAATAAAGTGGTGTCCACTATAATAAAATGTACTGTAGATAATACTAATGGTGTATAATATTATATTGTGATATAACTAGTTGACCAATATTAAAATTATGATATATACCATATTGTATATATCATATACAATCATATATATAATATATACGCATACATATTTAAAACATAAACACCAAACAGAAAACTAAATTAATGCAGCAATTTTTTATAACAAGATTTGTAGTTGATGTAAAAATAACATCAGGTCAGCCAACCAACTCAAGAAAAATAACAGGTGATTGAAATACGGCGCTAATTCTGAATGACCTTTTAGAACAGGAAAAATAATGCGTTGATTAAAAAAAATGGTTGTTATAAAAACCAAGTATATATTTTCATTTCGCTCGCCCAATTTAAGAAATTATTATGTGGAATATAAATTATAATACCTGTTATATAGATCTAATCAGTTACGTGTTGTAAATACGAAATTTCAAAACATTCAAATTTAACGGATTTTACGCACTATCATAACTTGTAAGCACTTAAAAATGTTTTATAAATGAATGAATAATGATTGTTTTGCGTTTTTGTAAATTCCAAAAATTCTATTTTGTAAGAGGGCTATTTTTTAATATTACCATTTTTTCTAAACATTTTTCTATCGTTTATAAAATTTTGATAAACATACAATTTCTGAAAATTTATTAATAATTTTGAAATTTTTCGCAAATTATTTTTACATAATATATGTATATTTTATTGTAAAATTAATTCTTTTACGAACTAAAAAAAAAAATAATAATCATTATTTTTGAATTGTATTGAAGATGAAAATGTTTTGTTTCTATAATGCTGTCATCAGATTTTTTGTAAACAAAGGTCGGCGGATTTCATTGTATCGGTATTACAGAAAGTATTATGTACGATTTAAAATCTCCTTTGATTTACGTAAAAAAAAAAAAATAATAATAATAATAATAATAATAATTTAAAGCATATTTAGTGAGGAGGGTAGGATTATTATAATTTTGTATTCGTTATTTTTATTATTATGTAGCAAGTCTGTAGCAAATTCGAGTTTTCAGCTTATTACTTACGTATTAACGAAATCGACAGCAAACATTTTTATCATTTTGAATGTATATAAACCAATTTAAATTCTTTATAACAAACGTTATGTCTGATATAATATTGTGAAAACTTTAAAGTCACTGATGGATGTATTTTTTTTCTGTTTCGCGGTTACGCTTGATCATGATTTTTTAAGCAATTAATTTCATGATTACACAATAAAGTAATAATAAAGTAAATTTGAACACATTTTCGATTTGATCGATTTTCTTTTTTAGATTTAATATACTAAGCCGGCTGATCACAAATCTGAAACTCCTTTAAATAATTCTTAAAATCATACTGGTGAGGAATTGATTATTGAATCACTTGATATTTTACAGGGAGAGGGTAAAATTATTGACTCCAGTTCAGTTTTCGGGGAGGGGGAGGAATTCAATTAATAAGTTTTAAAATATCTTATTAAATATGTATAAGCAGTAAGTTAGGTTTAATGTTAATATTATCATGAAAGGATCTCGAACAAAACGAATGATTTAATGAAAATATTAACGCAGTAGACGATTATTGTTAAGCATATGACGAAAACATTGGGGTGTAGTCTGTTTTTTAATTTTAATTTTATCACTTATTATACGTCAGTATTAATTATTGTTATTATTATTTGTTTATTTAATCGGGCCATGTTCAATAAAAATATAAATACACAGAATATCAAATATTGCAGTAATACAAGGCAATTACAATACAATACAGAATACACCATAAACTAAACAAAAAGTTATTAAAGTATACATTAAACAAACCTAATATATTATTAAAAACTAAGTCGACATTCAATTTATTTACAAAGCCCATTAGTCTTAATAGGTATCGGATTTTTTTGAGAGTAATTAACACGACGGAATGGCATGTATAACATATATTAGATTGCCTAGTACGATAAACCAGGACAAAAAAGTTAAATTGATTTAATGATTCAGAACAATGTATAAATCCATACAGTAATTTAAAAGTTAAAATAAATATCTAATCGAACTCTTCTGAGCACAAGTTTCTATTCTAGTTGAAAGTAAAGTCGAATAGGATAAATGTCGTTGCCTTTAAACACCACATTTATCTGAATACATTCAGTAGCTCTTTGACCCGATGTGTTTGGAACCAAACAATAAAATTGTGTTCGAGTACTGACTGATTCATAGATAGATTTTCAATTTTATTTTTATCTATGTTTATAATGGAATTTTATGAAAAAAATATAAAAATATATTTTTAGATTAGTTTTCTTTTCTGTCTGTAGAGAACTTTTCAACCAGAAATTTCATTCAGATCATCAAAATTAGTGGCGGTTTTTGGTATAGCGTAATTTCACGGTTATACACCGGTTTACTTTTTAAGAGAAAATTTACAATTTACACCGGTTTGCGCCGGTAAATTTCTTGTGCTACCTACACGCTAGATATTTTATGCGAGGGCGTCTCTTCTGTCAAAATTATAATAACATCTAACGCGCAAATAAAACTACTAACACTCCGTGTCTCTTCTCAAACGATCTCGTCGTGACTATGAACTTTTCATAATTTTAATCGCGGATATGCCGTTCACGTAATTTCGCATATATATACGTATAGTGGGCGTGTTCTTGCCAAATTATAAAGCGTTTGACTTCCATACGAAACATTACGGTATAGTATAAAATATGCAAAAACATTATTACATTGAATCGGTTATTCGTATAAAATATTCACGTCGATCGAGAGGGAATTATATATTTTGCAACGTGCGTATACGAACAAAATACGAATATAATAGCTGTTAGCACACCTTGGAGTGGCTTTATTTTTTTTTTTTTTATACAAATTATATTATTGTAAAAAATCGTTAATAATTTATTATTTTTCATATCGAACGCGGATATAGTATTTTTTGTTTAATACAATAATACCATCATAAATATTATAATAATATGTATATAAAACCACATAGCTATAAATCCCAGGCTCGTTTGAATATACGCGGCGACGGCTCTCTATCGATAGAATACTGGTATATAAGTACATTTTTAACGCTATCAAATTTGTTTGGTATACACAATATATATGTGTGCACTGTAAATATAATTTATGAACATAATATTTAAACGCATTATGCAACGATTTATTATTTATTTATTTGGTATAATACTTCACAGTCGCGTATTTTTTTAGGAATAAGTAATTACCTATAATAAAACGCGAAATTCACTTGACTTATTGTCATTACTAAGTAAATATACTACAGATATACAGGATGTCCTATAGTATTATTCTTATGCTATAATTCTGTCAATGTTCAATTTTTTTTTTACATCCTTTAATTATTGAAAAAAAATTACTTTTTATTTTATCACTTTTAAAAAATTTCAAAATAGTCACTTTGTAAAATATATTATTCTAAAAAATTTAATGTAACATACATTCATATCCGATCAATAATTTCTTAATAATAGTAATTTTAATTTCTAATAAATTGGGGTGAAAACAATTAATATTCAATAGAAGATAGAATAGAATTTCTCTACATTAATTGAATGTTCTTGTTTCCGATTAACATACATGTATTCTCTCTGAATAGAATCATCAGTAACTGATGCAATATAAATGTGAGTACATTCGATACAACCTACAACACCGTGTAAATTATATTTTTCATAAAATTGAACTCTTATTAGATGAATTTCATTATCAAATAGAAACTGAGTCCATAGGTGAGCCAGATTCGCAACAATTGCTTTGGTAACTATGTATACACAATTACTAACACTTTTTTGGCATATTGTTATTGTGAAATCTTGTGCTACCACTGCTACTGACATCTGATAGCTACCGTGAGCATAAAATCTCAAAACCTCAAGGACTCTTACTTCGGGGATCATTGCTGTCTTACTAATGTTTTGATCAATCTAAACAATATTACAAATTGATTTTCAGGAAGATCAAATGGATCAATCCTTTATTTTATTGATTTTTATATTCTGAAAATGTGTAAGTAGGTTAAATTAATTAATTGAATAATAAAATGAATTCGTATAAATATTGAAGGTATATTATTAATAATATTAGTTATTACTTTTCAAAAGTATAGTAACTATTATATTTTACTAAGAGGACAGTAATTATTATTTACATTTATTACCTAGAGTTAAAGTAGAAATTGTAATACCTAATTAGAATAGCAATTTGTAATATTTAATAAAGTATTTATTATTAGGTAGATATAATAATTTTAAATAAAATATTACGCCAAAAATAACAAAAATAAACCGAGTTATTAGCATAAGAATAACCCTGTATAAAATAACATAACGATACAGATGATGACTTGGTGTTATTATTAACGGCACGGTTTTACCAGGCACTTTGTATATTCAGTGTTCAATACAATGAGTCACTTTGGTCACTGAAACCACTCAAACTCAATAAACGAACAATGGAAATTCAAAAGAATCGATACATTATTAACGGACCAGAAACGTTTTTCGTATCCGATTAGTTAACGGATACCTTTCTTCAGGATCGTACTTCAGATTATAGGTAAACCGAACTTGATTAGATGATCGAGTGTCGCTTCTATATTTTTCGTTGGTCTTACGTAGTAGATAAAGTCCGATAGCTCTTTCACCCATCTATATTTGAACTAAAACTGTCTAAACAAGCGGACAAATGATAAGTTAGACCTCAATTTCGAAGACCATGATTAACGCTAATAAAACTGCCAATGTATATTAACAGGTCGTGTATTTATATTGTACTTTTCTATTTTGTTTATCGTTTTTTTTTTTTAGATAATGAGTAAAGCATTGTTTCACTATGATGTGTGCTGTTTTATTTTTTTTGTCTATGAACAACTTTACTACAAGAAATTTTACTCTGATCATCAAATGAACAATTTTTTCTATAAGAAAATTTTGTCTTATTGGTGCATTGAGAGGTCTTTTTTTGATTTTTCTTGTAGTTTTTTTGAATAGATAATTGAGAAAACCGTATGAAAAACGGGAAAAGGAAATAATGATTTCGTTATTTTCGATTTTATATTTTGATGTAATTCGGTTAAAAATAATTGAAAATTTAACACGTCGTTCATCGTAAGTTACATTTAGTGGTGAAAAAAAAGTTGTGTATAATGTATATTTATTCTTTTTTATATGCGTTCGAAGTTTTTTTTTTACGTAAAAATTACAGCAATTCAAAACATGTTAAACGGAACTTCACCCAGAGTCGTTTTTTGTTAAAAATAATGTATGGTTGCACACAGATATAAATTTAATAAATCTATGTGTTTTCCCTTTCTTACTTCCCCGCCTATTATAGTGGCATACCTATCAGCAATATCGGTTCTTTTAATTTACCGTCGTGCAGCAGCTGTGGCACTACACAAATCACACCGTGCCAACGAAATTACGCAAGGCCACGTACCTACCTACAATATATTAACAATGCATTTAATCTTACAAATCATAACAGCTTTTCGAAGGCGATCTGTGTTCGTAATTGTTTTTAATACCTACATTACTCCAATAAAATATAGGTAGTTTATTTTCTCTGGTCAAAACAACTTTATGTATTATGGGACAATAAATTGTTTTGAATTTTTTTTTAAAATCGCGTTCCAATAACGACAAATAGACTTGTATTTTATTCCATGTCCGGAAACTATATGCACAACTATTGATAGCGAAAACGAATAATTAGCCGATACGGACGTATCTATTTAGGACTGGTATCAAAATTTATTTTTAAGAAGTTTTTATTTTTAATAAATTGTAGTGTTTAGAATTGACTTGCTCACTACCATGGAAAATATAAATTCTCATATTCAAAAATAAACGCTAAAGAATAGATATCTTTATAAATGTGGAATCTGTATTTGTACTTTCCAGGTTTTTATATTTCTGATTTGTATATTCCTGATATATACGTTCCGGATTTTTATAGGTACTATAATTATAATATTGTAATATAGTATTGCATATTATTGAAATGTTTTTGGTACTTACTTTTGTATATTTTTCCCATACTGATTTATATTAATATTAATGTAATTATTATTAATCAATATTAATAAATCATAATAATTTGTTTTACTATGATGTGCGTACCCACCAGCTCTTTATTAGCTCTTTTTTTTTTTAGGCTTTTATAAATCAACAATTTTTTTTAATTTTCCAAAGAATGGAAGTTTTAGAAATATATTTTATTTTAAATGTTTTCATTATTTCGGTTTTTTATTTTTCACTGAAATTGTCTGGCATTTTTATCCCTATCTTTAAATACGAAGAAAATAATTTTATTTTAATAATTAGGTATCTATTCTGTACCTATTAAATAGTTTATAATTTTGAATGATTTATCATTTATCAACATACTATTATCTTTATAGTCAATAGACATATCAAGTTACGAGACTGATAAGACATTTACATATTGTTCTTAACTATTTTAATCTCCATGGTATCAACTCTGTACAAATATTAACGCCACCATACGAGGTTGTGTATTTTAATCAAACTAATCCTATTATTATGTAGTATCATTTTAACAGAATTATGCTTTTTATTCTCCGTATAAGTAGCATAACCTAGGCTAATGGAAAAATGTGTTCCGAAATAAAATATATTATTATAATATTTTTTTCGTTATTTTCACTAAATACTACACTAATGAGTAATATTCCTTAGCAAGGAAAATGTCATCAACTAATTCGTATTTTTTAAAACATCTTATTTTAAAAGTAAAATTGTGGATGTAAAACTTAAGTGAACATGATCAAGAAGGGAAAGCTAGAACCAAAAGCATTTAAAATATAAGCAAAACACCAAGGTGACGATAGAACGCTGTTAATACAATTATATATATTATTGAATAAGTATTGTATTATTGTATGATATTCAGGTAAATTAATACACGCGTAGCTTATATTAAAAACGCAAAATATCTATCATATCGGTTATCCTGGAAGTATTCGGATTAAATTATTTGAAAATTTATAAAACCGACAAAACTAAAAAAAAAAGTAATAACTTTTTCCGTTTTGAATTTCTGGAATCGATATTTTGCTGAATTTTATTACATTTTATTCGTGGAAATAATATAGGTATTAAACGTTACACAATTCAATGAAATCATAATAAATATTATATATTACCATTTTTAAATAACATTACACCCATGAGCGCCAATTCTTAGCATTGTTAACTTCTAAATTTAAGTAGCACTCCCAGATTTTATCATATTGATATATCAAAAAAAAAAAAAACTCAAAACAATATTGAGTGGAACTAATTTTTATACTGAAAACAATACAGAATAAATTATATCGCCGCTTTTTAAACGTTATGTGTGATGGAATACATCAATGCTGGAGATCAATGGCAATGTTCTTATTGTCATTTGGTAACAAATACCTACAGTATACTGCTATGTCTAGTGTTGGTTACAAAATATTTAAAAATCTTAAATACGAACAATTTATCAGTCCTTAAAGAAAAATTTAAAAATTGACTAAGGAAAATAAAATTGAAGTGCGAATATATTTGTAAAATACAATAAAAAAAGTAATCAATAATAATGTTAAATAATGTAGAACAAAGCGTCAATGTTTTATTTAGGTTCAAAACGTAAACGTTATCAACTAATTGAAAATCAATATAATATTATAACATAATGTAATAGATAATAAAAAATAATATATATATATATGCTTTATTTTCCAACACTACTATAAAAAATGAAACAAAAAAAATAATACACACATCATTTTAAAATCAATAAATCTTTCGCTCTATTCCGAATCTAAAACAAACAATATATGATTTATTTTTTTGTCACCTGATTTATTGAATGATTTTTAAAACAATGTAAAAAGAGCGTTGTAGGACCATACCCTTCATGGCTCATTTAGTATATTATGCGATTTAATAGATATACTCCTAAAAAGACGCCATATGATAATAGGGACGGGTGCAGCGACTGTTATAGATAATTTAATGTATCTCTGTTAACAACGATAAACCATTGTTTACGAAAAACGATCATGAGTGGAGTTCAGTTGATAGTGATGCTTTATCAACAATATGTATGCCATAATAAAGTAAATTAATTTAATAAGCTTTATAAATTTTTTTTAATAATATTTGTTTAAAGTTATACTGATTTTCCTATTTTTTCCCCTTTTTTGTCTTGGTTTTTTGGTTTTTCACATTTGATGAGAAAATTCTTGAGCAATCGAAAAACAACCTATTTAAAGTACCTCCCCACATCGATTTCATTTGAGAAAAAGTGCTACAAATAAAAATTTGAGGAAGATCTCTGGTAGAAAAGTTGTCCACAGAACAAAAATAAAAAAATAAAAAAATAAATATCTTGGTAAAATTATAAGCTTCTTCGCTCCACTCAGAATCTAAAATATACTTACATACTTCGCACGATGGGTGATCCACTCTTGTAAAGGTAAGGAGTTGGAAAGGTAAACAGGAAATTTAATGTATATCGCAACGATTAACCATTTCAAATGAAAAACGATCCTGAGTGGAGTTAGGTTAATAGTGTTGCTTTATCATATGAATATGTCATATTACGGTAAAATAATTACATATGAATTATATATTTTCTTTGATAATATTTCTTTAATATTTTACCTAATTTCTCGTTTTTCCTAAATGTTTTTCGGTTTTTCCCATGTTTATCCCGGTTTTTCCTATTTATTGGGAAAACTCCTGGGAAAATCAAAAAATAGTCTCTCTAAAGTACCACTTCAGTCAAATTTCCTTTCAGAGAAAATGTTATACTTGAAAATCGGAGCAAAATCGCTGATAGAAAAGTTGTTCACAGTTAAAAAAATTAAAAATAAAAATAAACATCATTGTAAAACCAATACATTCATCGTTCCCTCAGAATCTTAAATAATTAATTAGGCCCATAAACGAATGTCTTCTGATCGAATACACATTCGATCGGATGTGCTAAATTCAAATAATATTATTGTCAAAACGATAATATAATATATCTTGCAGCTGTGTGGACTAAATAAATTATTTCCAATGCAATTGTCTGTGTATTATACATTTCGCATTATTTTGTATTCAGCGAATACGCTGAATGCGTGAAATCACAATTCGATTCGATTATTTTGTCGACAAGATTAAAACTGATGACACATAGGTATGGTAGGTACACGGCTTTTAAATAAATTTAGTAAGTACTTACCTACCTGACACTTCGATTAAAAATATTCGTATTTTAGATTCTGAGTGGAGCGAGGAATGTATTGGTTTTACAACGGTATTTTTTTTTTTCTTATCTGTGAACAACTTTCCTACTAGCAATTTCGCTCCGATATTTTAAGTATAATACTCTTTCTGAAAGTAAATTTAACTGGGGTAGTAACTTAAAGAAGCAATTTTTTTAATTTCCCCACCTGTTTTCATAAAAAATGAGTATTAATCGGAAAAAACGGGAAAATGTACGAAATGTATTATTTTGAAACCGTAAATATTACGGCCTTTCAAAAAATATGTATAACAGAAATCCGCTCAGAATCTTTTTTCATTAGCAAAGATTAACCGTTACATACAGATTTACATTGAATTTACCTCTATCTCCTACCTTCTCTACTTCCAAATTACAATAGTGACCCACCCTACATTAATAGTACAAGGTATGTCCAAATCTTTTTTTTTTTTAATTTTTTTAGTTAAAATATTCCGGCTTTATAATGGTGCAAAAACCACGATATTTTTTTAAAAATTACTCATAGACATATGGTTTTTATTCATAATTAATTTCATTTTCACAATTACAAATGTGTAAAACGATGATTTCGTGAATACAGTATATCTACACGAGAGAGAATAATCGCCCGTCCATATAATAGCAATATATATTAGACTATATTTTAATAGTTAATTTAGTTTTCAAATCCAAAATATTTATAGCAATAAGAATAAATGGGAACAATGAGGTTCTAAAGTCGAATTTTCTGTAATTAAATATTTAATTAAAGTATTAGTAAATTAAGTGAAAATGAAGGACAAATACATGTGCTTACTTAATTATTCATTCGTTTCCACTGCAATATATTATTTTAGATTATAATTAGATCGAAGAAGCTTATGGTTTTATAAAGATTTTTTTTCTGCGGATAACTTTTCTACCAGAAATCTTGCTTCGATTTTTAAGTGTAGCACCTTTTCTGAAAGGAAATCAGACTAAGGAAATACTTTTTCAGTTTTCCCAAAAAATGGGAAAAACCGGGAAAATAGTTCCAATATTAAACAATACATATTATTAAAGAAAATATATAATGCCTTTCTATTTTATCATAATATGACATATATATTGTTGACAAAACAACACTATCAACTGTACTACTCTCAGAATTGTTTTTTCGTTAGCAATGTTTTATCGCTTATCGTTTCTTACAGATATTCTTTCAATTTCCCCTATACTATTAACTTTTTACATACAACAGTGGCCCACTCACGTGCGATGTATGTCCGTTTTTTAATTTTTAAATTTAATCTCAAACAATATTAAATCGTGTTTTATTAAGATCATCATTATTAATAGTGTGCATATTGATAGTTGGGGGTGGTTTTAGATGTGGAGCAGAGCATGGGGTCTACTAGTTTTACTATGATGTATACGTTTTTTAACACTTTAAACAGAAAAATTACTTTAATCAAAAAATTACATGAGATTTTTAGATCATTGTGTGTTTTACGTATTTTTTATTTGGTAGGTAGTACCTGTGGATATCATTGGTTAACCCAACAGAAATACTTGCACATTTAATAGGGGGTTCATTATGAGTTGTATTAAGTGGTAAAAAAAAAAAGTAGAGCGCGATGCACAGTAAGACCGAATTCAATTCTAACTTGTCTGATAAAAACTGAAAGGCCAAAAATCTATCATTACTTTTATTCAGCCGTTTTTTTTGAGTATACAATACTATATTTATATCGTGTATCTTATCATTAAAATTAATATGGTAAATGTAAAGAGTTTTTTATTCATTATTAAAACCATTAATTGTTCATTTATTACATGTTGTTGAACATTTAATTTAAAATATATATATATGGGATTTTTTTTGATATAGCTATAACTAAAGTAAACACTAAACACCTAATATTATAAAATGAAACATGGACTGTCAATGTAGCATGGATGGATTAAATCGTTGGAATTTATATTAAAAATTGTGTATACAATTGAACTTCAGTCACCAACAAAACATAGAGGTCTAATAAAGTGTAATATGTTCGTTGTCATAGGTGATTTAAAAGAAGCACAAGAGGCCCATAAAAAAAAAAAAAAAAGGTCTTGTTAATATAATACCAGAAAGACATCTTGTGAAACAATGACCGAAGACTTAATACAGATGCGTTTAATATCATCAAGCCCAGTGATTACAACATTGCAATCAAATATTAAAACTAAAAAACAAAAATTACCAGTATAGACATTAGAACTATTGAATATTAATGATGATATTTATTACACATGAGGACACTGATGAAGACAAACATGAAGTTAATGGTTATTAGTAAATAGTTTCTAAGTATTATTTAATTATATCCTCAAAAGTTGATTAAAAGAAAAAAAAATTGCAATAGTTTATCTTTGTTTACGGATGTACATTTAATAACTTTATTTTTTCTACTTTTTCAACTGCCCACCTACAACAGTGGTATACCTATCAACAGTATCAGCTTTTTTTTTTTAAATTTACGAAAAGCCTTATTGTAGGTGCATTATTATTAAAATTTTATTGAATATTTTCATCATGTGTATTTTGCACATTTTCAGGGTATTGTGAATTGAACAAAATAAAAAAAGAAACTACATTCCTACAAGGTAAAATATTGCTGAATTTGTGTTTAATTGTCGATGATGTAAAATCGATACATTCCTTTTACATCGTTTATTACACCATTCATTGCATTGTTTGGAATCCAAAACCGAACGTTAAAAAAATAAAAATAATTATAAACCAACTGAAATGCAAATATTTCTTGTTACAAAAAAAAAAAATGGACGTATTTCGCATTGTTGTCGATTAGGAAGGTAGTGCAGTGGAAGGGGGATTTAATTTATATCTATACGCAACGATAAATTATTGTTATCAAAGATAGATTCTGAGCTAGGCTCGGTTAAATATGTTTTTATAACTTCAAATTGGAAATTGTATTAATTTGTAACTAAAACAAAATAAATTACAATTCTTTGCGGTTTTTAGCTAAACCATTTTTTATCCATATAAATCGGAAAATAGTAGTGAATATCGTGATTTTACGAATATATAATATATAATACGAATATAAATTATAATTTATTATTATAAAACGCTTATAAAAAAAAAAAAAAAATCGTGACTTCGGATTTCTGATATTTTTATAGTGTCATAAAAACAATTTAATATAATAAACATTGAATCAAATTTTTAAGCATTTTCAGGATGTTAAAGAAATTTTACCTACATTAAACAAATAAATTCTAACATTTAAATAGCTATAAACAACAAAAATAGACTCCATTATATTTTGTAAATTATACCACGTCTACGAAATGCTAATTTAAAAGTATTCGGTAAAAATGCCAGATTTATGCGATTATGTTTTACTGTATTCTAACAAGAAAACATAGTCGAAAAAAAACAGGAAATATATTTGTGTAAATATTCCCGTTTTTCCGGTTATCCCTTATTATCGAAAAACGAAATACCCATTACTCAATAATGCACTAATAATATGACGGAATTCTCTAACAAAAACCGTTCTTAAAGTCGGTAATCAGGGGAAGTATTCTGTTCGAAAAATCATTGAAAAAAAAGCAAACCTTATATTTAATTCTAAAGACGCAGCATAATAATAATATAAGTAATACGAATTTTGACGCCAGGCATATATTTTATTTTTTTTAAATAGCCTTTATTTAAATTGCTACGTGAAGATATTTTTCTCCATCCACGGTTAATTTAAATTAAATTATTTTAGTCAAATATTTGTTGACCAATTACTTTTAATTAATTTGATCGGATTATGTAAGATACATAAAAAAAACTATAGTTATACGGTGTGTTTGTTAATAGTTTTATTTTTTTTTTTTTTTTTTTGATAATCACTATAAAATATTTTTAACCTCCAAGTCAATATACCTTTCTCATCCAAACAATTATTGCAAACAAATATTTATAATCACTCGGATATTTATATTATATAAAAGACAAACAAACTGTCCAGTCTCCATATAAACCATAGGGAAACGATACTGATTGTCGATAATAATAATTCGAAAACAAATCACTAGTTTGTTAAAACAGCTGATAAATAATTACCTGAGATTATTTTATCGAATAGTCGGGAATATTTAAGTTCATATAATTTTATAAAGCTCGAATTTGTTAAAAAGAACACTTTTAAAAAGATACCATAACTATAAATGTACATTTTATTTCGCGCCAATGTGTAGAGTATAGGTCCTTTTCTGAAAGGAAATTTTGTCTTGTTGGTACATTAGAGAGGTCATTTTTTGATTTTCTAAAGAGGTTTTCAAAATAATTGGAAAAAACCCGAAAGAAACTAGCAAATATTTACGGCGCACCGTGGCGTTACCGTTTTCATTGGTTTTAATTTGTTCTGTTCACACGATATTTTCTACAAGAAATATTGGTCCAATTGAAAAACAAAAAGAGATCTTTTTTGTTGAATTTTTAATCTAGTTGGTGATCATAAAAATCGCTTTTGATTATTTTTGAAGTTTTTCGTTTTTTGCGTACTTACTGGTAAAAAAAAAATCGAGTGTAATTTAGAATTCTTTTTTTTTAAATATTACGGCATAGCATGTATTATTGGATGTATAGATTTTTATGATCACCGCAGTTTCGGTGGCAACCGTCGGAAAACAATAATAATACTGTAGTGCAATGCGTAAAGGAGTCGTCATGGCGCAATTTTCTACGCTGTTCAATTCCGCTCTCAGTTTTGTAATCACAATAATATACAGGGTAGTCTTCCGAATTTAAAGTATGAGCTAGTTTTCATAGTATTCAGGATGTCTCACGGTGATCTGACACTTGAAATAACTTTTGTTCTATGCAATATCTTTGATATAATTTATATATTATAATATACAGAGTGATCAGGATTTTATGTTGCAGCAATTTTTCTCTTTCATTTTTTATAATTTTTTGAAGTTTTTGTAAATATGAATGTTATTGTGATTTATAATATGTAATCAGTAGAAAAATATTCTAAACATCTATTTTACAAAATAGCTATATTTTAAATTTTTTTAAAATTTAAAATTTATTAGTTTCAGTTTTCTCACTTGAATACAAAAGTTTAATATATTAACTGTAGCGCAGAGACATAATAATTATATATAGTGAAACTATTGAATAAAACAAATGTTATTTCAAGTGTCACATCATCATTGGACCCCTTTTACATTGCAATGGATATTTTATTATGTTCCTACACAAAAACCCGTAACATATAATTTTATAATTTTATAACTTAACATATAATTTGGAAGACCATGTACACGGTCGAGTGCAGTTCGGATAAGAACGAATAAAAATAAATCAAACTCCACTTGCCGCGCTGGGAAACCCGCTTGGTAGGCCGAGAAATTGGAAAACCGTAACCCGTAACCCGTAAATCTGTTTCGGTTTCTGTATTACACTGCGGGTTACGCGTGTTACGGGCCGAATTCTGCTAAGTGTATATCGACGCGTCAAGCACTTACTTGACAACGACGTATCTCCACAGGGCCAAAATGAGCGTGAGTGCTATGGACGTGGTGTGCAGCACCTGCGAAACGTACGTGTGCAACAGCACGTACACGGCGCCCACGTGAGAGAACTCTTCCTTCTTGGCGGTGGTCAGGTACATGTAGCAAGTGAACGGCATGTACTCAACCATGAGGGCCAGGTCGGCCACAGCCAGGCCGCACAGTATCCGATTGATCGGCGAACCGACCAGGTCTTTGCGCGTCAGCACGGCGATATTGAGCGCGTTAGCTAACGCGCCGAACACGCACAGAAACAGGCTGACGTAGCCGTGCACCGCCCGGAACCACAGTGAGTAGTTCTTGACGCTGCCGCTGCAGTAGCAACCAGTCTGGTGTTGGTCGTCCTCTTGGCTGTCGACTGGGTCGTTATACAACGTAATGTTCAGCAGGATCTCGATATCTTTTTGTGTCAAATTTCGATTTTGCAGGTACTCCATCAGGTATTGTCTCAAACTTGGGGCCGCTATTTCCGTGCACATGATCCGTCTACATTGTACTCAGCTTAAACCGAGACAATCAAACAACAAAAAAAAACATGCATTTTTTCATTATTATTATTTTTTGTTCATACTTCTGAGTGAAGTTAAGTTAATTTAACATTTTTCGTTAAATTTAAATTTGATTTAGCTGTGTTGATTACACAAAATAATTGTACGGCACATTTTCGAGTATTTATGCGGGACCAAAACATTTTATCCGCATAAATTGACAAAAAAAAAACAACCAAAAAACGTGACAACTTCAAAAATCATAAAAAAAAAAATAAATAGCATTTCGTTAATCAAGGTGATCAGTATTCTATAAAATTTTAAATAATTTTTTTTATTTAAGTGTATTTAAAGTTGTATTGAATTTATTCGAGTGTCACGTTATTATTGTTAGGTATTAAATAGTTTTAATACCTACTTCAAAAAAAAAAAAAAAAACCTTAACAATTGTCAATACGCATTTATTATGATAATATAAGATAGTAACAAATAATCAAAATTTGTTCGAATAAATATTATATTTACATTTTATAATAATATAAAATAATCAATATATATGTAAACGCGGAAAATAGTGAAATGATTATTAAAAAAAAAAACGTTGAAAACAATATTTTTCGTTTCATATATAAAAGGGTCAAGTTGTAACTGACATTTTTTTATTTTTTTTTTTTCGAAATTGATATTTCATAAATCGACTTGTTTTGACGTATACAGACGTAAACAAAATCTCAGGACAAAAAAAAATCGTATATTTATGGAAAATATTTTCAATTGATAAAGGTGTTATACTACGTTATAATTTGTAGTTTTTGTTTGTGAATAAAAGCGTTGTAGTATGCATTGGAGTAGTCAGGAATTCTCATGGGAAGGGGAGGATTGAAAAACGCCAGAACATTGTGGCTGTTTTTGACACCGTCTCCACACTCCTCGTATAGGATATATTGTTCATAGATAGGTCATTGTTGTAGATGGGAACTTGGATAGATTAAATACATAGGGAAACTTAATTTATATCTCTACGCAATGATAATAAATCATTGGTAACGAAAAAGAGATTCTAAGCGAAGTTCGGTTAAACAAATTGTGATAAACTTAATGGATTGATATTTTTATTCATTTGTACCTAACTACGAAATAAATTATGATAGTTGGTGTTTTTTGATCTCGACTTTTTAATTATATAGTGCCAACAATTTTTTCATTTCATTAATCGAAAAACATTAGGTTCGTCGTAATTTTTACGATTTTCATCAACCTTAGAACTAAATTTAAAAAAAATGCTTATCGGGATCGCCGTATTCTCTGAGATAGTTGGCCCCGGATATTACCCAGTCTTACCTATCTGATTGCACATTTCCATCGTTACTCAACTGACTATAAAAACAAAAAAATAATAGGTATTGTACTACATTATGTATTTGGCAAATTAATCTCGAAAAAGAGACTTTTTATAACAAACGTAAATATATTTTACTTGAATAATCATGTATAAATTTAATATGTTAAAATGTATGACCACTCTATTGAAATATCCGGGTTACATTAGATATCCTGGTTGCAACTATTGAAACTGATTAGTTTTACTATGTGTCGTTTTTTTTTGTCGAATAAAGATATTAACTAACATTTTATAATAGAAATATTTTTAAATTTACATTGAATAGTCTTTCTTTTGGGTACCTCGAGGCTTATCTATTCATTCAAAATGTAAATATTTAGCTCAAAGTCCCGTGCATTTTATAATTTGTCGTTTTGTATACTCGAACAATGTTTTAAAATGTTCGTTAACATCTTTGTCCGTTGATCCCTTTACGAGTTTTTAATTTGCATTTCATATACATGTATTCAAGGTTTTTTTATTACTGCATATCTTAGCACATTAACCTGCATACTCAAATCTAATACACGCCACTAGACCCGGTTAATTATTTTGTCTTCCTCTCAAAAATGTTTTTTCTTTTCAAAACTACCATATAATATTATTACCGAACTGCGGCGTTAAGTTTGAGAGCGAATAAATCGTACTCTCTAATTATACAGCCTACAATTAAATTTATTGACTTTTATTAACTTATGTCTGCAATTTATTAACAACCTGTATAAAATGCTAAATAATATATAATAATAATGTATACAAACACATTGATGGACTCTAATGTCATAATAATAATAATAAAATAAGTATTTCAAAGAGGTTTCAAAGGAAATATTTGTAAGATACCGTCTATTTTGAGATCCATTGGTTTTAATATTATGATGGGTGCATTTTTTCCTGGCTGTTAATACCTTTTCGAACAAAAATCTTGCTCCAATAGAAAAACGATAAGAGAACATTGTAGTTGCATTTTTAATCTAATTGATGAGTGGGGTTTTTTTTATAAAAGTTGTTATAGTATCAGCTCTTTTTTTCTATTTTACTCACCGCGTTAATAGAAACACCAGCCGGGAAGTATCTATACGTTATTTGAAACTTAGAAAAATTCAACTGAAGTACCTATGTACCAACATCAAAATGTTAAAAGACGGCAACAATTTTGACGCTCAAGAAGATAATAATATGTGCGTTTTAGAATATCAAAACTTTATATTGAAAAATTAGCACGTTTGATGATATACGTACATAGTTAAATATTAATTTATAGGTATATGTCAATAAATTTTTAAAAAAAAAAAATTTTAAAAATATTTTACTTTTTCAATTATAAATATTTATACCATCTTGTTCGAGTAACTCGAATGTCAACATTTTGATCAACCCTAGAATAAAGTTGTTGTTTTCAAATATTAAATACATTCATAGTGATGGGTGAATTCTCTTAAATCAAAAGATTCATAATTACACAAAATACTTGGACATGAGGCTATACTTCCAAGTTCAGTTTAATAGGAATTATAACATTTTTGAGTTAATAAATTTGATTTTTTTTTTATGGGAACACTTTTTTTACCAGAGAGCTTACTCCGATTATTAAGTATAGCACTAAGAGAAAATATTTTATGGGCGATACTTTAAGAAGTCATTTTTAAAATTATTATTATTATTATTCAAGATAATGAAGTTAAACCTCATCATCAGGTAAAACCTGGTTCTTTAGGTTAAAAAATATTGAAAGATTAAAAATAAGGTTGTCATTGGTAACCACTTTTATTTATTTTTTGTTATTTTAAGTTTTTATTATTTTAATCTTTTTTAAACATTCATTGTTGTCATGGAAATGAACACTTTTGTAATCGTTTTACTATAGTATGACATATATATTGTTGACAAAGAAACACTATCAATTGAACTCAGCTCAGAATCGTTTTTTCGTTAGAAATGGTTTATCGTTGCTTACATATATACATTAAATTCCCGTCTATATATTTCCTTCTCAACCTCCCACCTACAACAGTGGCTGCATCCACGTGCGAAGTATGTTTGTCTTTTTTTTACTACAATATTCATTAAAATCGAGCACACATTACCCTTTAAATATTATTATGGAGAGGGGGTAAGATATCATCATTATAAGATTACTTATCCACGTACGTATATTATGTTATATGACTTTGTTTTCTTTGATTATATTAAGAATAATATTTATTTTTATATTTCGTTGCCAACAGTGAGTACCAAAGTGTTTCTATTCTTGTTGGCAAAATGAAAATCGACCGGAAAGAATTCCTCTACAAATTATTGTATTGTTATTGTTTTGGTCATATAAATGGAGACAATTCTTTCGTGTATAGTAAGGAACCTCATTGAGATTGTCAGTATATAATCATAACCTGTAAACTTCGTTCTTTAAACATAATATTTTCCGTGGCCCGTTTGTATGGAGTTTCGACAATAGTAATTGTTCGTTCGATTTTCCGTGTCAACATTTGAGTGGTTTATATAGGAATTCGTCTTTAAAATAAGACTATACAAAAATTCCATTAAAACAAGCATGAGTAAAAAGAGGAGGGGAGAAATAATGGTTGTTTCGGGGTTGAATTGCAACATTCGACTAAAGCATTTGCAGTATTGTATATATATAATATAGGATTTAAGAAAATGCCGGTTTAGAGTTTATCCGGCGTTTCTTATCTATATAATAATAAAATATATTGGTTCGGGTACGCGACTTCAAAATGCGATTTGGAATTTGAGTTATGACCGAGCAAAGAAAAACTATTCAAATACACGATAACAGTATACGAATTGTACAGAGTGAGCTTTTCTAGTCAAATTGATTTTGGTTTTTTTTTTTGTAAATATTTTCCTTATTCCGTATATAATGTTAGGTCACAATTAACTTAAATATATCAAAACTCACCTACGCTATCATAGATGTGCGCAGGATTTTTTCGCAGGGTGTGCCATAAAGAAAACGGACTGTTATTCCTTGGTTTTATATCCTCCCCCTAAACAAAGAATTTAGTGAATACAAAATATTGATTCATTAAAAATCATATTTTCCACCTACATAGTATACTAGTATTATATGACCTACATATTTCGCGAAAACATTATTATATATCTCAACATAATAATATTAATGTTTTATAATAATAAATTATAAAATAGTTTTAAATTTAAAAAAAAAAATTAATGTCATCTCTATTACAATAGACCCTGAACCTAAGGCAGTGATAAGTAATATCACAGAAAGTGGTTGCCAGTTGATTTTATTTATTGGTTAAACTATGACAACTTTTCATACCAAATTGGTTAGCATTTAAATAAATAAAATCCAGAATGAGTCAATTTCGTTTTCAATCCAAATGCACATCCTGTGCGCTCGTCTATGTACGCTATAATATCCAATATCAGTGTTAAGATGTGTATAATATCTACATGTTTAAAACAATTTATTATTTTCCTCGAATAAATTATTAAAGACAATAAAATCAACAGTTCATGTAGTATAATGTATATTATATGGTATACAAATACAATAAACATACTACACGGAGTAATAAGACTGAAATTTCGGAAAATATTGTAAATAAAAATATGTATATAA